CATATTCATTACTTTTAATGTATACAACTTTAAATTTCCCACAATCAAGACTCGTTTCAATTAAGCTCTTACGATATTAGCAAGTCTCTCTCCGCAGTTCGTTCGATTTGAGAATTTATTCAATGCACAGCACTTGTTACAAAAACTGAAGATGACGGCCATCATCCATGTCATCTGCCTATCAAAATAAACCGATTCCCGATCTTCCCATTCTTTTCTTTTGCTAATCCTCTTGATTTGTTTTCATTATTTTTAAAGTTTTTTTTTTTTTTCCGTAAAAAGAAAATTCTTCTCCTTAAGTATTATTATTATTATTATTATTATTTTAATTTTAGACTAATGAAATGAATTCTTAGACTAAAAAAAAAAGATATTGAGCACTAGCAACACAGGCTATCGGCTCTCTCCTTAAGTATCTTAAGCGTTTGTATATAAAAATGAATTGAAATTTCGACATGTATAATAGTTGGTATATGTGGTTCGTTTGCAATGCAATCAATGCTAGTCCACGGACTTTTCAATTATCAAAGTAGTTTTATTTGTTTTACTGCTCAGCCGTATATGCAGTTGCGTATTTTAGTATTAAAAAGCAAAAGAAAAAAAAAATAAAAATAACAACAATAAAGAAAGAAAAGCAAAAACAAAACAAAATAAAACATTAAAAAAATATATATACATATATATATATAATTCAAATGAAACATGCATAAGATTTACACATCAATGCCAGCAAAGAATTTTTCATGCAGTGAACGGAAAGCGCTCCTTAATGATGTAAGTTTGTTTAATTACGTTTGTAAATCATCGCAAGTAAATATACTTTTCTTATAATCTGCACTATATACCGCGTACTTATCATGGATTAAATTCAGTTATTCATACGTGCATGTGCACAATAAGTAAACAACAAGTCATATAAACTATTTCTTTTGCTGAGTACAAATTTCCAGGGTATTAGATACAGCTTATCATATTTACTCCTCCGATCATGTTTACTTATTATAAGCATGCGCGCAATTTCCTTTAAAAAGGAAAAACAAAAATTTCAAAAATAACAACAAGAACAAAAAGATGCAAAAAAAAAATTATTTTTCAATTTCGAACCAGTTATTTATTTTGGTTTTTCGAGATCACAAAACCAATACCAACTGGGGCTCCCTTCGGCCATATGGTAGAGTATATTAACCAGTTAGCGCTGCATAATTTATTTTCACTAATTTCTCAGTCAGGTATTACATTATAGCGCATTTACTGGTATTATATAGAAAACATATTATTAAATGACATTTGTATTACGTATCGATAAATTTTCGAGTTTTTTTATATCGAATGGTAATTTTTTTTTTATTTCATTCTTTTTTATATTTATTTCAGTTATTTCGTTAATGTATACATTTATTTTAGTACACTCGACGCTTATTTGCGTCATACGCAGTTAACTGGTTAATTGCTATAGTGAAACAAGTAGAAACAATTATAGTCGGCCCAGGTCGACTTTTAAATGCTGTAAATTCAGTTATTTGCATTGTACAATTATTATTCATTCATTCATTCATGGATTACTTTTTATCATAAAATATCGAATTTTTTGACAAAACTTAAGAAAAATTTTTGAAAATCTTTTATACGGAATGGGATTTAAAAAATAGACCAATGTCGTCCAAATTCGATAAGTCTAATTTTTTTATCAAATTACTATTATGCGTCAATTCTTATGGAATGCTGAATATTAGATCTTTTACAAAAGTCCACTTCTCGTAGCAAGGGTTATGTGGGAAAAGAGTTTTAAAAAATGTCCTATCTTGTCAAAAGTTTTCTTAGTACTAGTTAGAATTTTTTGTCGAAGAATTTCGAAAATTGCATATTATTATTATATATTGACATCTCCACATAAGGGGTTATGTGGCGACTGGTCGAGACAGTTGTTCGATTCAACACGTTTTCAACAGTTTGGCGATCTTGGGTCAAAACACAAATTTTATCAAAATGTATTAAGAATTGCGTTTTGTAGATTAAACACATCGAAGGGACGGACGGACAAACAATCTTAGATTACTATAATAAAAATTGAGTCTATTTGAAGTCTCTCCAGATGTTACATATCTTCTCAAAAATTTAATATAACCTGCACCGCAAGTCGTGCAAGGTTTAAAAACAGATAATGTTATTTAAAAGCTAAGAAGTGCTTTCATTTGTCGTGCCCCAAAAGGATTATCTTTATACTGCTCTAAAGTTTCTTAATATATCAGTTTATGTCAAATGAATTACAGTCTTCCGACTTTTTGGTTTTAATTCGAATGAAGCAATTTCATAATTAACGGAATGCTTGTTGCTTTCCAAAATACCAATAATTCATTTAGCTAGAATAAAAAATTTATGCCCACGATGAAGAGATTAAGGTATAATAGGCTTATTATTCCTTTTGGATTACCTATCACTGCGCATTATACATAAGATGACAAGATGGATGAGAATGCGTCGCGAAATGTTTTTTCCTGTATGGGTAGATGGAAAAATGTAATGTAAAAAACAATTGGAAACATTATAGTTGGGTTAAGTCGTCCTATTAATGGTCCTACCTTACACTGTTTAACACAATTTTTATTTTTGTCGTAGAACAAAATATTATTCGCTGCTTTTATTTGAACTTACGATTATGGAACTGCATATTAAAAATTAGACCTACTTGCAAATGCAGGGGTTATTTTCCGGTCAAAAATTGAGGTATATGTTCAAAATTCAGCATAGTGTAATTTTTATATCATATTACTATTATGGATCAACTTTGATCATAGCATATTAAAACTTAAAATTTTTTGCCCTAAAAAACTAAAACGCTCGTAAAAATCTTTATGCAGGTTAGGACGCAACAGTAAGCAACCGTGGTCCAAATTTGGTGCAATTAGTTTTTTTTTATCTTAAATTACTACTAGTATGATCTGATTTTCATCATGAACCATTGAAAATTTCGTTAGTTTCGTTTGTTGAGAGGGAGCTAAAAAAATTGCTCTATCCGATTAAAACTTTCCATGCCAATTTAAAATGTCGCAGGGCCGCTTACTTAGACGCTTTTGTCGACAAATTTTGAAAATTGCCAAGTCCTTTTACGCGGAGTGGTTGCAAAAGTGGACCGATCTAAACCATTTTCAATAGCGTACCATTTTCAGTGTACGAAATTTCTAAAAAATATCCCAAATATTTGCGACCTATAGCACGAACATCAATTCACATCGATAGACTTTAAAAGGGCAGAGAGGCTTAGATTGATTCAGAAAATACTTCTAAATTGATCGGTGTAATAAAAAATGGGGGTCTTAAGCGCTTCTTCACGTAACATATATCCTATACCACAACTTGTGTAGGATGTAACGACGTCTTATTGACTCTTTTGATATTTCGATCGTTTTTTCAACAGCGAAGAGTTCATATTGATTAATTGCTGTTGGTAGAGTTTGGTATTAACCCTTTCCCCAGGCATTTAACAACTATTAACAGAACGCGCTCTTTTTCTGGCCCTACCAAACATAAAATATAGTTTTTCTGCATAAGTGAAATATGATTCAATCTCGCAGTAAATATGAATAAAACCCGGATCATCTACCGACGACTTTTTAAGCCTACGATTCCCAAAATTGATCCACATTTCATTCCCAGTTAAAATACGATTTTTACAAAAAATATCTTTTTTGCATCGTTCGGGTACAAAAACAAAAAATGATGTCGGCAAATGCGCTTTATTTTCTTCAAAACTCAACATTTTCCTTATTAGACAGACTACTTTTTCCTTACGGCATATGTTGGTATTACCAGTGTTCATTCTTGTCAGATGTTCAAGCAATAAGAGAAAAACACATTTTCAGACATGTATGTCCTCTATATATGATATTAAGGCCATTTATGTGAAATTCCCGTTTCATACTTACATACCTGTTAAACCATTGAAAATTATTCCGAATTTTCCAATTTTTTTATGAGAATTCGGGTCAGTACAAACAAAATCAATTGTAGTGGACAACTGTTAAATACCCTATACAAATTAGTTTAATACAATCTTTTTTGTGGAGTGATGATATATTACCTGTACTGGAATCAGGAAATTGACCACGCCTATGCAATATTATAGAGCATCAAAATTTAATCTTTCCTCAATACCTTTGCAATACGCAGCAACAAGCTTCAAAAACCCCTTAAAGTATATAAATTCTTGATTAGTTTTCAAGTCGAAATGCACTCACATATGTCTATCTGTCCATCTGTGTGTCTGTCCAACTATGTAGTATCTGTGGTAAACTGTCTTCTGTTCGTAAAAATGAAGGTTACCGCTTACAAATTTACAAAAGAATTTGAAAACTTTTCAAAGCACACCAACCCTTCTACTATAAAAATTGAGAACACGTTCTTGGTTGTTGCTCATAAACTATAACCCATATGCTATAAAAACTTTCACTTTTATACTGAAAGCAGAAAAAATCACCCTCGCCCACCCGATATTATTAAGTATGAAAATTCAGTTTTCTTCCGTTTTTTTAGGCTTTCTTAGGCTAACGGTGATGAGTATAAAAGATTCAATCACGATCTATCATTTTCTTACCTGGATCAACAGTTTACGTAACAAGGTTACGAATGCGTTTTGTTTTCTTTCATATATAATACACATCACTTATAGTACAGGGCATCTAACGTTTGCAGGAATGTATGGAACACCTAGAAGAACTTGAGATAGACCTAACATTTGTTTATTATGCCTGCTTGCTTGCCTGTCTGTCTGTCTGCATGTCTGTATGTCTGTGTGTCTGATGTCTCTCCTCGTGTTCTTGTGGTCAATCTGCGAGTCAATCAGGAAGTAATTATGAATTCCAAGCTCTTCGTCTGCTTATGTACACTTGTGTTTATCTCATAGATCGCAATTTTTAAGATATTTCGACGGAATTTCGTCGACTGATCCGAGCACGGGTTATTTTGAAAATGGTTCGGATGCGATAATTTTTTTAACCACGACGTTAAAAATTTGCATCGGCCATATAACCGTTCCTACGAAAATTGGAAGCTTCGTATGAGGATAAGTCTAATTTTCAATGTTTCTTAGGGAAAATTAGTTCATTATAATTTTTTGGCGCAAATATCAGCCTTACCGACTATGGACCACGTCGACCTATTTTTTCGACCTCGTTTCAGATAAGAATTGTAATAAAAGTTGAGCGTTTATATAACAAAAATGTCCATTTCTGTAATTTGGTGGTAATCTGATATAAAACTTGACTTTACCAAATTTGGATCAAACAGAGCTATTTTTCGGACATTGTCGGATACAAATAGTTTTATAAAATCTAAACGCTTAAATGCCAAAAAAAAAGTCTGACAGTTTGAAAGTTTGATATTTTATAATGAAATTGTGCCCATAATAAAAATTAACTGCATCAAGTTTGAACCATTTGGTTGTATTTTTTTGGATACAATTCCATAGAAAGGTGCTCGTAGTACTATAGTAATCCTTTTAGCGCTTCAGCGCTTCATTTTTAATATTTTATGATGGAAATTGGCTCCCAGTAGCAATGCATCATAAAAATTAAATGCAGAGAATTTGGATTACGTTGGTCTTTTTGGTAGGCGCCACTTTATAAAGGGGCTCTCGTAAAATGCAATCCATTAAATGGCTTCAAATTCTTTTTTTTGGTTTTTTTATAACGGAAACAACTGAAAAATAAAAAAAACCTTTGACAAGTAAAAGTAAAGAGTTTGTTAAACTTGGACTACGTCCGGTAATATGAGAGCTTTGATGAAAAATATGCCATTACTTGAAAAATAGTGCACAATTTTTGTGCACATTTATCATGAAAATGAATAAATGATTGCATCAGGCGAAGTGGTGTAGGGTATCTAATGATCGGCCTTGCCCGTATATAATATTTTTTTTATTTTTATTAACGACAAATAAATGAAATCATTATCGAATAATTTGTACCTATAAACCGGTTGTTGTCGTAATGACTAATCCATACAATATACGTAATTTGCAATATGTTGTTTTTCATATCCACTGTATAAAGAAAGATTTTTAATATTGATTTGTAAGTGAACAAGTGTAATTCAAAGATACATTTTAGTGGAATGTCAGTGCATTGATGCTGATCAAGAATACATATACTTTGTAGGACTTTGCAAGACTGATGTATAATCTCTTGGTGAAAGCATCATATTTCTATTCAATCCTTCTTCGATTGAATCGTTCTAATCGATTGATTACCTCGATAAAGTTAGATTAACTTAGTTTCATTTGGAAAAACTTTTAAATGAATATAAACAGTTTCTAAAGAGATCTATTACTGTGTTAGAGAAATTAGAAAATCATTAAGGAAAGACATTTAGGATCTAATGGTCCATAAGTGTACGGAAGTCTTTTGCGTGCACTGGACGATAAGTTTGATTGTTTATTTACGGGAATAAATTTTTTGCTTTTTTTTTTTTATATCATATTCTAAGAAGTTCGAAGCGTATTTTAAGATAGGAAAGGAATTTATTTATTTTTTTTTGTTAATTTACATAATTTTTCCTCCTTCAATGTTAACTTTATGCATATTTGTTAAAATTGATTGATTTAGATGAATTATATAAGTTCGAAGCTAATCGATTATAAAATGATCGCTTAATTGGAAAAATTTTTCATATACTCGTTCGTATATATTTTACAATAATGAATAACATGATAATAATAATAATAATAATAATTCATTCATTAAAACAAATATGCATAAACTTTCATTTTGATTTGTTTATTTAATTTGTTTAAATTTCTTTATTTATTGCATTATTAAGTTTACATATGATTTCAAAATACAATGTATTCAAGTTCTCTTAAGCGAAAATATTTTTATTAGTATATGTATGTATTCTTGTAAATATGTATATTAATAAAGTATTCCGTAGTAATTTCCATTTTCATTTTTATATTTTTTTATTTATTTCATTCATGTAATTATTCTCATAATAAATATGCTTTTAGTGTTCCTGAAAGAGTTTGAAAAACAGTGAAAGCAAAAGTGAATGAAAAATAAAATCCAAAGATTTGATTCATCGACGAAACCAAAGAAGATCAATCATACTTGTGTGTATGTGTATGTGTATGTATATGTGTGTGTGAATATGTGTATTTATGTGCGTATATGTATGCTTGAACTAATGAAAATGGAGTCCTTTTTCATATATAAAAAATTGAATGGATATGAATTTTAATATTTAATCATCAATATACTCTCATACGTATGCAATCTTATCGCTAAGACGAAATAGTTAGCAACATAAGAAGCTAATCTATGTAAATGCATTTGTTTTGAATGACTGCTTCGAAGAGCAATATATATATATATATATATATATATATATATATATATATATGTCAATTTAAAACTCCATTTGCTCTTGTATAGGTTTTGACAAAAAAAAAAAAAAAAAAAAAAAAAAAACAAAAACAAACTACATACATACAAGCATTCTTTTATGGGAGTTATTTTTTTTTTTTTTGGTTTCTTTTTTTTCTCTTTTTTTTTCTCATTGACGTACAGATTTGTATCAAAGTTTTTTATTTGTATTCGTTTGATAGATGAGTAAACGATGGAAATAAATGAACTAATTAATGCTTAGATTAGTTTAGTTAAGACATGATAATGAAGCGGCAATAGCAGGTTGCAGCAGCGATAGCAGCATTCATTCATTTCTTGTATCTTGTATATTAATAAAAAGCTATAGAGAGAGTTTCGTTAGAGTGTTATCCGTAATATATATATATGGTATACATATATGTGGATGTGCACATGTACGTATTCCTAACACTTACACATACATTAACGGGCGGTAATTAATTGCTGATGTTGCCTTTGAGATATGGTTAATATATAAGATTGGTTATGGTTTTCAAAATTATCATTTGCTCGGAAGAATAGTGAGTTAGGGTATCTACGTAGAAAGGAGGATAGTTCAAAACAAAAAAAAATTCAATATTGCTTTCAACTTAATACACCAATAATAATATCGAATAGAGAGAACGGGGATGGATAGAGGATTTGGCAAATGTTTACTTTTGAAACCTTTGAAAAGCAATCATTGATTCCGTATTCTCCTCAAGGCAATTTTTAAGTAGATTTCATTTTTGTTTTTTTTGTTTTCGTTTTTGTTCTTCTTCTTTTTCTTGTTTTTTTTTTTTTTTTTTTTTTTTTTTTGTTGCTTTATATTTTTCACTATATTCCGATTTATTGATTTATTGAAGGTCAACGCTTGGAAGTGTTTGTATCTGATAGAAGCTGGTGTTGAGTTTTTACTTTGAATTCTTTCATTACCGATATATTCAATCAATTATATTTCTAGATAGTTAGATAGATAATTAGATAGGTAGATAGATCGATTGACAGATAGATAGATAGATAAATACATAGATAGATAGATAGATAGATAGATAGATCGATTGATAGATATAAAAAACACTCTCATTTTAATAACTACATAGATAGATAGAATAAAGCGAAACTGAATACAAGAATTAACGTATAAATGCGCTTTTGAAGCATATTATTAGCAGGTATTTGTTGTGGGCGGCATTAGGCGTTGGGCTACATTGTAGTAAATGGATGGTGCACGTAGTGGATTGTGGAGGGGATTTTGGTTTTGGTTCGTTGAAACACACATGTTACAGTTTCCTGTTTCTCTGGTCTCTGTGTACTGCTTTTACAAATCAAAATAAAACTCAACAAGCCATGCCTAAAATTGATTGACTTTCAATTCGTTGCCTTGCAACTGGACCAGGCGAAAGGCTTCGCGTATTGTTGGTGTCATAAGTAATTTGAGATTCTCTTCGGCCTCGGCTGGCAATGATCTAAGTAATTCCATTGATGCTACCACTAACTGAGCCAAGGCAGCCCTCTTATAATTCGAATCTTTCAATATGCTGGTTGCCCTTTGCTGTTCTATCTCAGGCGAAATAGTTTCGGTTTCTGTTTTCTGTGGACGATTTGTATCAAATGGATTATTACGGCTTTTTGGTACATACTCGCTTATAAGCGTAGTCATCGTCACGTTCTCGTCTTCTTGTGCTTGATGATTTTTATCTGGCGATACATCCATAGCTTCCGCGTAACTACTGGAATTACCATTTTCGCTGTTCCCGTTTATACTAATACACATCGATTTAATGAGCTTCTGAGGCATGTGTTTCGTTTCTAATTCTGTAGGTCGTAAACGTCCGTTCTCAATGTCGTGCATCGTTGAATTACTCAAATATAATTCGCAAACAAGATTCCATGCGTCTTGCAGGCAAAAAAGGTATCGCACAAAATTTTCCTTTTTCTTTACAGTGGTCGTATTCAGGCGCGAACAGGATTCTAAAATAAAATTAAGGTCTTCGGCCCCTAAATTATAGACAACAATATCATTCAAATAGGAATCGACCAGAGCTATATAGTATATCATCCATGATGAAGTCATTTGCTTATACAAATTCGCTGCATATTCGATATTAGCAACTTTTTGCATCAGGAACTTAAGTCCCGGACGAGAATCGAATTCTAGGGCGCTTGTTAAAAATTGAAGACAGCATCTTAATAAAATCTCTTTAGAACGAAAATCTAAATCATAATCATAGGAAGGTTGAGTAGAGGTGCTGTAGTTGTCGAATATACAAGTGGAGACTGCCTGCGGTACACACTTTAAGCGAGACAACAATAATTTTGCTACAAGTTGCAGTAACATTTGGTTCGCCAAAAGCCCCACCACGAGATTTTTAAAAGGAATTCTTATAACAAAATTATCCAGATTCGAATTAAATCCATTATTTTGTGGATACAAGAGAAAAGAGTAACTACGATCGTCACTTAAGCGTTTATCGACGTGATTGCTGAGTTTTGCGGAGGTCGGATCACGTTGATTATCGGAGAGGAACACTTGTTGGGCTAAGGAATAAATTCGTGTCAATTCATCAGTAGTGCTATCGCGACGAGCAGCCACTTTAACATTAGCGCAATCACCGTAAAAACTGTTTGACTTCTCATGGAAAGCAAAAGATAACTGACGTAAAGGAGCGATAGTGACAGTGCAAGCTCTATGAATGGCTGAACACGCTATCATCCATTGATATTCATTAAACAATGTTCCTGTGGAGAGAATTACATGCTTTAAGCACGATACTCCAACTCGAGCAATAGCTTCTTGTGCTTGCGCTGCACATTCTATTAACACGAGAAGTAGTTGCTTTAAAGATAATGTGGCAGAATATGATATTTTAGTCGTTGACTCTTTGGATTCGCGAGCGCTATCTTCGCTGGACGAGGTGCTGTCATATTGACCGTTCCTTTCTCCAATTGATTCGGTTACGAATTTCAATTTCGAATATACATTGTCGGTTGGCTGGAATATTTGTGTAACCCTCGTCCGGGTATTGCAAGCTTGTTTTCGCACCTCCGGTACAGACATCTTAATGAAATCTACAACCAAATCTGTGGTCATACAGCAACAGTGCTTAAAATTCTTTTCCACAAATTGCCATGACGCTCCCGTTTTGTTAATATAGCGGAGCCAGTCTTGGATCATAGGTATCAAGAGATGATTAATACAATAAAATCCAAATTCAATTCCAGGATTCCCTAATAGGTTTTTGAAATGCTTAAATATGGTCTGTAAGATCGGTGCTTGATGTAAATATGGACAAACAATCAATGAATTTGTCAATCCGTCCAACAATAAAAACCACACTTTTAGCACTCCCGACGCTTTATCCATTTCATCTATTTTTACGATAGTTTCCTTATCAATATGCAAAGAACGATAAGAAATCATGTGCTGTTCGCTTTTCGTTTGCAGATAATCGTTACCAAAATAAGTGAAATTTTCCATAGAGTTTGGTATGTTCGCATCTATGATGTGAGTGTAGGAAATTCCCTTGATTTTATAAGTTGAATGAAAGTTTGGACATTTTGGCATATTGTACATAAATCCCAAAATTGAAGAACAACGTTCCAAAAATCTTAAAGTTTCATGTAGGAAGTCTGTGGGTCTGAAATTATTCTCTTCATCATTTGCACTGGCACCACCGGCAACACCATTTCCACCACCCGGTACTTCCAAATAAGATAATAAGCACAATATACAGTCGAGGCCAGCGTTAGCAAAAACAAGAATGTTATCTGAATCCAAAAACACTCGAAATATATCGATTATATTGCTCATGTTAAGCATCCGACTGCGTGCATTCCTTAATGTGCCAAAAAGTGGTCGCCATCCTGACCGTATTTCTGTGCGATGAGCCTCAACTATTTCATATAGACAAGCTACAATTTGATCTTGAACATCGACATCGCAACTGTCCATATTTAGAAGGTTTTCGAAGGGTTTAAGTAGGGCCTCATTAAAATGAAAATAGGGTAATTCAGATTGTTCCACTAATAATGCAGTTACTATATCATGGATGTATTCAATAGATCGTTTGGATATAACGCGATCGCGGTGGCAAGCAGCATCCATTAAATGTGGACCCGTTATGGCCCACACTTTAAGTATATGTAAAAGAGGACGGGCACTGCGGAACACTTTTAATGTCACATCGCCAATTCGATGCAGTAAAAGGGACATGGGTAAAGAATCATGTTTTCTCCAGCCTTTACTTGGCCACCACGCTCTACTTCCTTTTCGTGTTGCCGAGTTTTTGTACAGCTGCTCGCGTGAGGCTCTACATAAATTTTTAAGAAACTGGCATAGTGAAGGTAAGCTCAGTCTCTCAGCAGCATCACTAAATAGACTGTCAGCTTGGTGCGAGAGAGCACATAACACTTTGACTGTATCTCCAGGACTAAGAAGAACGGTTTCGTTAATGCCTGAATACGCTTTCAGTATTGAGCTGATGTTAGTGTTCGGACTTCGTAATGGGGCTTGTAAAAAACTGTATACGTCCACACTACAATACATTATATTAATTAGAAATGTTGCTTTTTATTGCGTCGATAACCTTACCAAGTTTCATCGTCATCTATTGGTATAGAGTCTACATTAAATTTCTCATTTTGCCCATTGCTTGAATGTAGTTTGTCATTTGGCTCTAAGCCTCTGCTACCTCCTGGCGATGAGGAAGATGGTACGCTAGTATTTTGTGTGCTAAACATATCGTGTTCTAGTTGACTAACATGACGACACACGGCAAAAATTGACGGCCAGCAATCTGTACTGTAGGAACCTAAATGTAAACCTCCGCTTAAAACAACGTCCATTGACATAGCTTGGCTGGCTGAAATTCGCGGCCCTCCCGTCTGGCACACATTTGAGGCTAACAAATTTAAGATTTTCCCGGCCAAGTGTTGCAAATTTAAACAATTACTTAAAGTTGCAGCCTAAAAAGTACTGTGAAAGTTAAAAACTTGCGATTTTTAAATTTAAAGTCATTATGAACTCACTGAATGAAGTCCTTCCAAGCAAAGGGCATATAATGCCTCGCCATTTGATTTTGTAGTTTTGGTTTTAACGCGTAGCGTGCGTTTAGATAACGCAACAAATTTGCTAGAATTAGACGTTTGCGGTTCATCTAATCCAGAACTTAAGACCATAACCATCGATTCCCAACAGCAAGTTAACAGGCGCCTACTCAACTTTTTAGCCGCTTCACGTCGTTCATTGGGCTGCTCGCCTTCGTTAAACTTTACACTTGCAGCTTGTAGGCGCTGCCATTCGGACAGCATCTGCGTTGGGCCGAGACCGCCGGAATCGTTTAGCATATCTACAAGAGCACAACGTACATTGCAAGTTTGCAAGCATTCGCCATCTACTGATTCCAAAATATTTGTAATCAAAACACTTTGATACAGCTCGCAAAGCCAAGCGGACGAAAGGTATACTAACACTCCACTATTCTGAACAGAGGTAACAAATTGCTGTTCTGACATCGGTATCATAATCTCCTTTTGCATATCTTCATAATAGCCGGCCTTTTTAAGTTGCAAACTCAAGAGTAAAGCAGAGTATACTGCCAAGTAAATGCCGTCAGCGTTTATAGCAGTTAAATTATTATCGAAATCCGAAAAGTTTGTGCTATTTTCTTGGCAAACAGCCGATGCAAACTCCTGTATAGCTTCGTCCACCTCAATAGTAGATCGTAAGCGTAAAAGTTTCGGTACGAGATCCGTGCATAACGCTTTAGCAAAATCTCTGGCATGTTGACGATCTGTATCAATATCAGATCGAACGGGCATGGTGGGAGCGTCCAAATGAGAATATGGCCAACGATTTTGCTCCGTCCGCGAAGTATCGTCACTGGTCGTTGAGTGATCCTCTTCTTCAGGTCCTTCAGTATCGCCCGATCCATTCGATACAGCATCGTTTTCGGGATGATGATCACCATCGCTTTCCGAACTCGAAGAAGTTTCGAAAACATTTTGTCTAAATTCTACAATCGCATCTCGATAGGGGGCCGGTAGACGAGCCATAGATTGATACGTTAAAGGACCGGTATAATCCGCATCTTTTAGCTGAATAAACCGACTATTGACCAAACCGACAATTTGATTGCTAATCATGGATTCGGTTAATTCACCGCTGCACAGCACTTGTAAACTTTGCAACAGAGCGACCATGCACTCAACACTAGCTTGGAGACTGCTTTCTGCGTTAGTCCCATTATTAACACTGTAAGCACACTCTTCCATGGCATCGATCATTCTATAAAAAAAAAAAAAATCATAATTATTTACAGAGCTTAGGAAAATAAAAATTATTAAATTTGGAATTTACAATCTAAATAAAGCCATTTCATCACTACAGCTTTGGGGAGTCGTTTTGTCTACATATAGGATTACTGACAAATCAATGAGGCGCTCGGGACTTTTGAATATCTCACGTACACACTTAAGTGGCTCCGTCCGGTTTGACGATGATGGCAGCAATAACATGCGATGAAATAAAGCTTCGAGCATCGGCCTTAGAGATCCATGGGCGCCAGCGATACGCAACAGTTGAATACTAGTAAGGTAAACGCAACGTGCGCGTGGACCGTCAAGTCCGGGTCCTGTAAAAAATCCACGAGCTTCATTTTCGATTATATGAAGAGCATCTCTGAAATACAAAATTATACAAAATATCGTATTGTGTTGTAGCTGCACGAGGAAAAGGGATTTCCAATAGGACTCACTTATATGTGAATTTTTTATCCAAAGTTACTCTGCTAGGGGAACCTAAAGCTGCCGCTAAGGTTGGACAGAACTTTTGCCATAAAAACGAAGTAAAATGAGGATTTGTGTGCACGTTACGTGGCAACGATGATGTCAATGTTAGAATGCATTCCGTTAAATAGAGTGTACCAGTATTTTCAACTTTTTTGTTAGGCGAACCACCAACATTTGGTTCTACAAGACGACTGCATAGCCATTGCATTACTGGTATAACTTCATTATATACTGCGGTAGCATGTGATTGTGTCATTAATCCGGCTGGAGCGGTCTTCTTTACCTCTTCAGCTTCCTCTATTAAAAACGAGCAAAACGTTCTTAGGCATTGTGAAGCGGCCGCTAATGAAGCAGCCTTTATCGCTCTTGAACCTAACTCCCAGCATTCGCCGCAACGTGAAAGTATTTCAATAAGCAATCGGCCGTTTAGTGTACAGGCAGGTGAGCAAGCCATTGCTAAAAATAGACGCAAAACATTTACTACGGTATCCTCACTATTCGTAGTAGGTAATATTCCCGAAGTGGCTCGTAAAAGTTGAGCCGGTAGCCAAACAGAATCATCTTCCGGTTCTAAACCAATATAAAATCGTTCGTCTTTGATTATCCTCTGGAATTTTACAATACCATTAAATGTACTAATTATAGGATACAAACCTATGTCACTCCACTTACATGCAGACCATTTAATCCCATTGTAACAAATTTTGGGCGCTTCGTGTCCAAAGCCATTTGTAGCGCTATAAAGCATACAGACCTTAGCTCATGTGAGGGATCTCGATGTATACCATGTTGACGGTACAGTTTGTCTAAACGGATGGGATGACGTAGATCATGTATCATGTAATGATGGAAGGCATATATATATATATATATATATATATATATATATATATATGTAGATTATGTCTTACCATAAGCTATTTGGGCTGTTTGTCGAAGGGCATTGTGCTTTGTCCCGGTTGACTCTTTGATAATGAGTAGAAAAAGGTCTTCCATTTCCTACTCGGTTAAAATGTACTCTTCTTCTCTTCTTAAAGTTTTTAAATCAATATTATGACAATAATGAACTGCAACAGTTGCAACTTAATACTCCGTCTCGGACATATTACAAACAAATATATGTATGCATATGTTATGTTTTTCTTTTCTTTTCGTTTCTCTTCTTTTTTTTTTTTTTTTTCAATGTGCACCAGAGCAGCAGCAACCAGCCTTGAATGTTTTGGCTCTTTCTTAGTATATTATACTATGAAACCGTTGTCTATCGTTTCAGAATCATTTGTCCATATACATACACACATGCACACACGCATCAGTTTTTCTGATGTATGACTCAACTCGAGAGTTTTTATATATATATATAGATATATATATATATATATATATATATATATATATATTTTTTTTTTTTCTTATTAATATTTTCATGTATCTAAAATTTTATTTTCTTCATTATTATGATTTTTTTTATTCATTTAATATAATGATTTATTATTAACGGTTTTTTCATTGTTTATTCTGTTAGAAGTTTTTAAATATTCCCTTTAGTGCTTAAACTTACTAACTATTTTTATTTTAAATAAAAAAAAAAAACATAAACTTAATTTATTTCTTTGTCTACAGAGGACTAACTAAACCACTTACTTGTTCAACAGAATTCAATGTTAGTAATAGTTCTCTGTATGCATTATATATACAACTGTGCAGTTTAAAACTACTTTTCTTGTCTTGCGCAAGTCTACTAGAGAAAATGTCATAGAAAAAATCAATAATTTACAAAAAAATCTCTTTCTTTGAAAATTGTTGTCTGAATGAAGGTATATGCCCGCGTATATGTGTATAAGGATTAAATGAAATTCTTATTGTATAATGCTTATATATCTATATATACTTACTTACTTACCTATATATATATATATACATATATATATTTGATACACGCTTCCTTTACCAACAATTGTTTACACACGTCTTTGTAACCGTAACAATAGTTGTTTCGATAATTAGTTTCGCCTCGAGATGTCGAATCGACTTAACAGGTGGTTAATTTCATACACATACATGCACATGCATGCGGACTTATATTGCATTCACAACCTTAACTTTTCTATACTACATTGAAAGTAATGTGTAATGCACGCATACATAGTCAAATAAAAATGCAACAAAAGAAATGAAATAAGTTAAGTGATATGTATGCATATCTATATCTATATATCTATATATATATATATATATGTGTGTGTGTATCTAGTCATTCAAATAACCTTTTCAGTTTTTACATTGATGTGCATCAAGGATTATACAGGAAGTAATCAATTTTTTGTTTGATTCTTTCAATATGCTCTCCAAGTTCGTTATACCTGCTTGAGTATAGGCCCTGTTCGGGAAATATTATAAATTTCAAAGCTTTTTTAAAGACAAATACAAACACATTTAATCATTGTATACATCCTATCGTTAAAGTTCATGGTAAACCTGACATCTACGTTAGCCAACCTATAAGCCACGACATTCATAAATAGTGAAAGCAACTTTTGTATACACACTCGTAATGAATTATATTCGAAAATGCTTCAATTGCGCTATTAAAGCAAATAATTACGCGACTATTTATTGCATATCCGATTACACATAATTTCTTTCGAGTTCAAGATCGTTGGGCAAAAGGAACTAATTGAAATAAGGAAGGTTAGGCTTAGCTTAGGCACATCACTGTTCATAGAATGGAAAGTGCAGGTGTATCGGAAACAATCTGAACAAAGCAATGGTTTTCGTGAAAGGTTGGCTTTAACTCATTGGTCTTTTAGCGCAGCAATACGCAAAGAAACGGTTGCACCATATCGAAAACTGACCGTTATAAAATGACTCGAAGAAGATGACTACACTTGATTGAGGTTCACTTTTCATTACCAGTAACAATAAGATGCAAAGATCTCTTTTTTGTCGGAACGGATTTTATTTGATGGAATTTTCCAAATATTGATACGAGCAAAAGAATACTATACAAGCACCTTTCATTTTATCAGCTGTGCCCATTCGACACTTGTTGTTGGCGCAATAAAATGCCGTAAATATCTAATTTTTATACGTGTGTCATCTGTTTCTTGAATCAAGTTTCCGTACTTGTGCGCCGAGTTGTGGTTTTGTATAATTTGGGAACGTTTTTGTTGTTTTGTCTATGACCGTCTACTCAGGGTATGCCCCATACACGTACGGGCACGATGATGATCAGGAAGGCTTATAGGGACAGATCAACGTTTGTTCTGTATCTCGTTGCTGCATGGTCTCTTACCAAGCGAAAACACAAGGTACTATCATCTCCAAAGGAGCAGATAGGGTTCTTCCTTTTGCAGTGAAGATCGTTAATGAAAAGCAGGAAGAGAGAAGGGACCTTGCGGTGCACGTACATTTAAATATAATTCATTTGAAGAATATCTATCGATTACAACTTAGCGGACGGTTGTTCAAAAAACTCGGTATGAATCGAATAAAAATACTATCGACACCATATTCAATTTGTTTCGAAACAAGACCATCATGCCATATTCTGTCGAATACCTTGGAGATATCTAGAACGGCGACCTTACTTTCATCAAAGTGGCGAATTGCTCCGATCCGTTTTTCGGTTGGGTAGGACATTGGGTCACTAGTGGAGTGATTTTTGCGAAAATCGTATTGTTCGTTGCCTAGATTCTAGACATCTCGTTAGATGGTAGTTGACCATTTTCTCCATGACAGATTGACATTGCAGGATCACCCTTTTTGGGTATGGATTCAACATTCGCAAACTTCCAGTAAGTTGGAAAAACACCAGCATGATAGCATTTGCTGAAAAGGTTGCGCAATTGCATGGTAGGTGTTTCAGCGCATTTTTTTAGAACTCTTGGTGAAATAGCATCTCTGCAAGTGTTGAGACTAGCAGCACCTTTCTAACGTCACTCGTTCGAAAAAATAATGCAGGCATCGCATATATTATTCATTCAAGCGGTACAAATGATTGACTGCTCCGTGGTAAGTTGAAGTTTGCCGGTCAACATATTAGCTTTATCGTTAACCGAAGTACATTTCTAAATCAATGCCATAAGGCTGAATACAAGAACAAGCTCGATATTTGGATAACCCATGAATTAACAGTGAAAAGTTTAATGGACCATTTTTCAGCTGCGAATTGTTGCTAAAACGAAACGAAATCGAGCCATTTTTTGAAGAGATTGAAAACAATCGATGAAAAGTTGATTGGATAGGAAAAAGATCGGGGTGAGGTACGGTGAGATAATACTTTATTTTGGCAAGCCAATCGCTTCTATCGTCTTCGCTGCCAATAATAAAAACGTGTAATTGGAGTAAAGCGTTCAGATCGGATAAAAACAAAAAATATATGTCATATTCCAGTGTAACGCAAAATTGCGGTGTACAGCCTGGACCTTGGCCCGTCCGACAACCATTCGTTTCGTTCTCTGTGCAATTCCCTTAGTGGTCAAAACTGAGCTGAAAACTTGCCTATGGAAGTCGTTTGTTTGACAGAAGTTGTAGCCGTGATAGTGTATTGGCTTTACTAGAAAAGTGGCGAAAGGTTATCCCATACACATGGTTCATATCTGATCTAATACACTTCACTTAAACTACACGAATAATGAATTTGAATGACGGCGGTAAAAACGCCCAAATGGCACGAGCTATTATAGGATCTAATGTGCAATTTGAAGTGAAAGGGGAAATGATCGTTTGACAAATCTGATATAGTCTTCATGATGAGATGAAAGCAAGTTTTGACTGTCTTTAAACGTGATTATTTTATACAGCAACTGAAGTTAATGATCTCATTTATGCACGCTACGAAAGTATAGACGGAGAAACAAGATCGCCTCAATCCGAGAGGAATGTAACTTTAACGCATTTCACTTATAATAAAATAAATAGCGAATACAAAGCGGAAAGTAGGAAGAATCGGACGTGGAAGAGCCAGTCCATTTTATTAATATTATGATATAATTATGATTTTCTTAATAAAAATCAGTCATTGATTGTGTAGAGTTAAGTTTCAAGTTGCTTGAATGACCCGAATCCGCGTGTGCGTGAACTAATTCAGTTTCCTCGTTCTGTTGTTAGGGTTCTGATGATGACATCCCAATCCGAGGACCTTGGTTTCTTTCTCTATTCGATACGTATACCAAATTTAGTCACAAATTTGTACGAATCTCACCCTACTTGCAATATGACTTTTAAAAGCATGTACTGTACTACTTGTACCTATCTCTCGTGAGTCTATCCCTTCAATAACTTGCAATTGCAGTTGATGTGTGTATTCGTGCTCCGTAGACTATTTTTGGAAATTATCCTCATCCGTCAACGTATTCGTGACAAGCTACTACTACAACTATATAAAACTGTACGAGTTGCTAATTAAAAAGACTAAGTAGTTTTAAATAACTTAAAACCCTTAGTAAAAATAGGATCTGAGATAAAAACTTTGATATGAATAGATATTGGAAAACTGCTCGAATATTTACTCATAAGCATACACGAATAGACACGCGGAAAAATGGCGTCATCGAGAATATTGATTTCTCACAATGCCAAGAGTTCTGGCAAGTGCTGCCCGGAAGTCCACAAGCCGACGTTGGTTAATGCTGTCTGACATTTCTATGATAAAGTACAAGACTACAAGTAAAGTTTATTTGCTTTAGTTTACGTAACGTAGCCAAATTCGCTCCGCATTATGTGCATGAAGGTAGGATCGTCAGCGATATATATAATCGTATTATCTGATCAGACAGATCAGGAACGCTAGGCAGCTTGGAATCCGAAGTCAAAATTTTGACCAGAGAAAAATAAATTCCACATTCCATAATTTTTTTTTATATTCATCGGGACTTGTGGTACATACGCAGAAAAACTTGCGACAGATCCATCTCTTATTCTGTCGTGTTTTCTTGTGCTCAACCTACAAGTTGCAATTTTTGAGATATTTTGATGAAATTTGGTATACTGGCTTCACGAATGCTATCGAAAATATTTTGTATCGGACAACTTTTTCGACCACTACCCATATTAAGTGTTATGTTAAAACGCCGTTATATGAATAACTACATTAAAGGAAGGTACGTAGGATTTTTAACAGCGGGCCAGTGTACATACACCACACCACTTGTCGCGCAGGATACATTAAGGCTGTGCGGACGTATGTGAAACCCAAAAGCGCTTAAGGTAGACCCACTTTTCATTATACCGAATATACAGATCGCAATTTTTGAGACATTCTGATGAACTTTGTTACGAAAGCCATTGAAAATGATTCGGATCAGTTCACTTTTTCACCCACTCCCCTCCCATATAAAATTTTATTTTAAAAAAATTGCAATTTTTAAAATTTCTCGACAACAATCGCTGAGTAATAGTATCTCGACATTTTAAATTCCTGTGAAAACTTCGAATCGTGTGTGGCAATTTTTTGAAGTTCCTACGAAACCTAAATCTTTATATCGTAAAAAACACTTAGGGAAAACCCAGAAGTCCAAGGAAACATTTTTTTGAAGTCCAGAACGCTTATGAACCAAAAAAAAAAAAATTGATATTTTGAAAAATGTAAAGGAGCGCCCTCCTTAATTGCTCTTGAAATTTTCCTAGCTCTAATTATGAACAAATTATTGGGACATCTTGTCATTTAGTAATCTCTGATTTACAATGTGTTGCAGTAGAAGGCAAATCTCGATCAGCAAATACAACAACCTTTGCGGAGCGTTGCACTTTTCGGCTTTGTTCCATTCCATTATTGCATTTTTTAAACAATTCTGCAAAGCACAAACCGAAAGTCCTCTGTAATCTTCAAATGCAATATCTGCTTAGCGTATGAAATCACGAATGTAGCGAATGTTGTCATTCTGCTCAGAACTTAGGCAAGGGATAGAATGCGAAGCTTTTGCCCTAACACTTACTCTTATTTACAGGGAAATTTTAAAAACACTTATCTACCCTTGTATCAATAACAGACGCAATCATCAATTTATCATTCTCCTTGAACTCTGGTCAGGACTACAATTAACATATAACCGTTCCCTTATTTTAGTATGTTTCTGACCACTCATATAGACCGTCACATGCAGCTTTGTGCTAATTGCGGTGAATGTTTTAATAGGACAATGTCTAAATAATATTTTAAATTTTTGAACGATTTTAATAATAAGGATTCCATTCGCATTTCATATCAATATCAAGGCAGATTATAAATTCTTGATAAAGTTATATGTAGACATTCTCTGAATTAATCTAATTTTCGATCTCCAGTATTTGATCATATACGAGCTCATATTTCAATTTAAAGTCCGAATTTTTACAATAAAAATATTTTTCACAATTGACGAACTGATTCGAAATTTCAAGTTAATTACGTGTTTATACATTTTGTTCCCGCTTTTCAGATAATTATTTTTATTATAATTATTGCTGTATTTTTAGATATATTTTTAGTTATTACGCTGCTAACGTCGTAACCGGACCATCATGAGATTCTTACGACTTTTGCGCCTATATGATATTTGGGTTTAATGACGAACCCAATTATTAAGTGTAGCGATTTTTTTTATTGCAAAATCTTGGTAAAGGTGAACATATATGAAATGTTTGCATAAACCGATCTGAATAAATTAGTTTTGTCAATCTATTATTTACAAGACTTTCTATATATGAACATTTCTAATGATAATACAAGCACACTCACACACACATATATAGGGGAACAAAATTAATATATGCTCAACTTGGAAGTAATGGAAACGAATATTTGGGTATGAGTTTCGACTATAAAGTGAACAATAAAAATTTTATTAAGCGCTGTACTTAAAACAGGTATAGCAATTCGAAGGCAAAAAATAAATAATCTATTTAATGTGCTTCATCTTCCACAGACCGTCGTTTAGATAATGACAAGTTTCAACGCCAACTCCCTTATTTACTTTTGCACTAAAAGCATTAAAAATGTTTTATCATAATAATCTATGTATACATATAATTAAACGTTTGCTTAAAAACTTACATTTCTTCTGTTGACATTGTTGTGACACCGATAGCTAAGGCATGCTCTTTACCTTCAGCCATAATGGCTACAACTGTTTTACTTTCCGCCGGTGTCATGATAGCACCGGGCGAGGTCAGACCAGGGCACATAATATTAGCACCGCTCAAGACAAAACGTATTGCACCTTTGTCAACTTGCTGCATAGGGACAAAATATGGAAATTTATGCAAAAGTCTAAGCGTCGGCATCCACACACTTTCACGATGCCGGAAAAAAACTTGCTCGCCAACACTATTTAACAATAATTCGATATGATCTTGACTACAATTATTAAATAAAGATAAGACAAGGTAAGGGCTTTTGGCGGTTAAGCAGATTGAATATGTTACCATTTTGCAATGCGATAAGTATCTTTTTTGGGTAGTATAACGTCGATATGAGTCTCCAGTAGAGGATAAGTTTCCAATAATTTGGCACGTATACCTTTTTGTACAGATGACTTTAATTGTTGAATGGATGATACACTTTCTTTTTCATCAAATCTGTTAATAAATTTTTTGAAAATCTTTTCATAATATAATTCTTATAATAATGGAACGAGTTTTGCTTACTTTTTAAACATTTTATTTGCGGCTGCTACTGACGACGTCTACTGAAAATAACGCAAACGTGTGTTTTTAGTAAACAACAACAATTTATATCCGAATCATATGATTTATTTAGAAAAAAAATTAAATGGCAATTTGGCTGCATTTTTTGCATAGAAAAATCAAAAAGTCTGGCTACTTCACGAATAATCTCATGAAATTATTATAGTTGTGACCTTTCTTGTTGTTGTTGGTTTTTATTTATTTTTTATTTTGTAAGTACATTCGTCGGCGTTTTAATTTAAATAAACAAATATTAACCTTTTTAAACATATAATAAAAATGGAACTCGTTTTCTCCGAACTTTTGTCTCGCGAGGATATTTTACGCATTTTACACAGCGTAAGTGGTAAGCAGTATTTATATTCTCATGGTAATCGGTAAATATATGCATTTTAGCGTTGCCTTCAAATATGCGACATCGATAAAATGAGTGATGACGAACTGATGCGTGTATATAGAACCTTTGTGTTACCTCTATCCCAAAGGCATTCACGTAATAGGAGAATTGAACGACAACGAAATTTATTGGATTGTAAGATGAATACAGAATTGCATGATTCTGGCGAATTTTTGATGGACGTTGACGAATCGCCTGTGGTTGGCGTCCATCTTAATCACATTACTGAAAAACGTCGACCAGAATTGCATGATGTGTATGATGAGATAGAAATTGTTAAAGACGATTATCAATATCAATTAAGTTCTGCTACTAAACGTATTAAAATTTCATTATCCTGACCCTTTTTTATAAATCACCAATGCCATCAGTAGTTTTAACAATCTAGCAGATAATTACAAGTGAATATTTTCAATTTACTTTTTTTAAGTTTTTGAGCTTTAACTTTATACTTTTATATATACGCTTGTTGGTCCCATATGTGTGTATTACAATTCGTCTATAGTTAAAATTTTCAAAAAAAAACTTTGTAGTAATTAAGGCAATGTAAGTTAAATAAATATGTTCAAATTTTATTGAGTCGCTTCAGAAGAACATAATTGAAAAAAAGAAAAACTATTTTTAATTGCAATAAAAGCCACTGCTCAGTATATAAAAACTTACATTATATCAGTCCTTTAGCATATTTATTGTATCGTTGTACTAATAGTAACAATCTTCTGAGAGCGGTAAATTAATCCTCAAAGAAAGAATGTGCCAAACGAAAAGATGACAAATAAATTAGTTATTGGTAAATTAAATTTAAGTGAGAACGTTAGCAAATAAATGCAAGATTACCGTCTTGCGTCTAGCATGATGGGCAATAATTTGAAGTTGAAAATCGTTCAGCAACACTTTATATTTAGGAACAGGAAATAAATGCATATGAAAATTTTCTGAATGCTCTTTTACGCTATATGCGGTATGCGGTGTCGAGTTGACGAAACAGTAACTTACGCACACTTACGCTAAAAGCCGTTGGAATTTAAAACCTGACCTTGTTAATTGCAAAAAATCGAATTGCGAACTGAAGTTACACTTTTTTGGTTGCAGTTGCGTTCTTGAGACGGCGAAACATACGAATTTCGTTAATTGACGAAATTCTGCATCCAAAAATTGGCCTAATGGGCCCCTAAGAATTTTAGTTATTGTCCGAAATCCAATTTCGCCATATTATATGCATATATAGTTTGTGTCAATACAAGAACAATATAAACTCAAATGAAGCTTACAAACGTGGAAAGACCTTGAAGTGAATATAGCTTGAAATATTTTAAATTTTTTTTTGTGTAAATTTCTTGCCTTCGCGGAAACTTTGCCGAAATTGCTGGAATTTTTGGTTTATATCTCTTTTTTTTTTTTTTTTGAGCGTTCAAAAGTCCATATATGCGGCCTGAGAACATTAGCGAAAGATTTTCGCTACCGATTGCTGCATTCAAATGTGAAGACCCGAAATCCATCATAATGTTAATTGGTGCCCACAGAAAAGACTTGAAAGTGTCTATAATGCGCAAACACGAATCTTATAGGCAAAAAAGAAAAGAAAATAAATGTAAAGTTACAACCCATAGTTAAGTGATAAATGATACTGCAAAAATGATCCTAATCGACTAATAGAATTTTTAAAATAATTTTCAAATATCTTCTTATTTGTTTTAAATATTTGTTCGGAAACCCCAATTGCATTCCTACTAGACTGAATTTATTTCACTTACGTCATTAAATTCTGATGATAATTTGGAATTTATTCTTTAAATGTATTATATAACCTTGTAATGAATTACCGCTTGATGTACGTATGTGTTTAGGAACGGCATGCTTTCGTCTCAACCTTTCGTTTGATCGATAGATAATAATGAGGCAGCATTTACTGCTTATTGTTACGCTAAAAGAGACTTAACATTGAAAACAATTTTTATAATGAATCAAACAATTAAGATAATCTTCATTTTTCTCAATTATTAATTATAAGAGTAATTAGAAATTGAATATTTCATTTTACGAGTTTTAAATCGTGCTCGTAGTATTTTATAATACATCTCTTAAAAATTTAAGGCAAACTTAAGTCCATGAGAGTTGCTCATTCTCTCGTCCTTTTTCCCTAATGTTGATTAGAGCTAACCGCTGTCAGTAACAGTCAAACATCATGGATGACACATTTGGCGAAAATGTTTTCAAAATATCCGAATGGGACCGAGCGAGTAGACTGTAAGCAGATTGCAAAGTCAATAAAATTGCAGTGTTGTCTTCGATCGCAATAGAAGAATAGAAGAAATAGAACAATTGGGACCATTTGGTGTTTTGGACATCAGAATGCAAGTGACATCTATTGGACAGAACTTGTATTGACTTAATATTGCGCTGCAGCTGATATTCACATAATTTACAAGTTCGATATTCGACCAAGGTTAGGGTACAATTCGCTATTGGCGGTGGTCCAAGAAGTTTCAGGCAAGTCTTGTACCGCGTACATTGAATAGCTCAGACGTTCATGGGTGCGTTCCAGAACTACAACATTCTTGAGGATCGGCATGACGTCGGCTGTACTGTCAATGTAGTATTCGGTATTTTAAGACGACCAGCCGGCAAATCAGCTGTCACTCAACATTCTTAACCATTCCTTTAGGGCTTATGTATAGGAAACTAAAGGGAAGTGTTCTCGAAATACAGAAGGTATTCGCCCATCAATCAAGTCAATGTTTTAATAAGACTCGCCGACTTTCTCTCAACATTCTAACCCAGGCATTTAGGCCCTTGTTCTCATGCCGCGCAAGTAACTGCAGAGACTGCTGCCTGCCTTTGCAACAATCTAACTGCAGTGCGTACACGAACCTTTCTTTATCCGTAATCCTTCCTGACAACTGTATCTGTATCCTTTGACTGACCGGTCAAATATTAAAAAAAGTTGAATCATTAGATTTATCTATATATATATATATATATATATATATATATGGCATGTATATATAGATCTGAAGCACTACTTATTTCAAATACTGTTTCAAATACAGTTAGTATCAGTTTTATCGCAAATTTTTTCCTTTTTTTGTTACCCAAGTTTAACAACATCGTACACACATGTCCATGTATGTATGTACACGACAAACATTCCCCCTATTGCAGTTACAACACGTACTCATGAATGTATCAACGATATCGCTTGTCATCCATCTAGCGATGCTATCTTGCACTTATACCTCAAACCATTAGATGGTCGACGCATTAACGGGTATATGTTTTATATATATGTAAATTTTTGCTGTTTTTCAATTCATTTAAACATAGTTTCGTTTCATTTATTAAATTTCAATTTATTTGCGCAATTTCAATTTATAATTGTATATAGATTATCTTATTAAGTTACGATTTGCTTTAATTTGCTTTTTATTCAATATACACAATTATTACAATTAATTATTCGAAAAAACAGAAAACCATAAACTAAGCTAAGGTACTTGTTAATTGCCATAGATTTTTGCCATGACATTATTATCCCCATCAATGTACACCTTAAGTACATGTTTTCCTTCATCCCGCTCCCGGCCCCCGGCCCCGGCCCCGTTCCCTCTCTACCCTTTGTAACAAAGAGTTCATTCGTTCATCGCGCTTTTATAAATATGTCGTTATATATATATATATACATTATAGTCGATTCAAGAATATTGCTTTTCTTCAAGTGCATCATTATGCATTTGAAAAATATTTATAATTTTTTTTTTTTTTTTTTTTTTGTTTGTTTCTTTTGTATTCTTATGCTTTATACCTTATGTAAATTATTTAATATACAGTTATTTTTTTTTTTTAGGTATTTTAAATGTTTAAATGTTTATTTAGAACCTAAATGCTAGTAATACTCGGGAAAATCGCTTCCGTAATTTAGGAAGGCTCGTTGCACAGCATCTGCTATCCAATTATTCACATCGTCATCATCATGATCAGTAGCAGCAGCAGCAGCAGCGGTAATAGTCTCAAACGCACTCATACGGCCGTCTCGTGATCAGTCTCATCTATGCGACCCAAACGCCACGAATTCGGATCTCCTACTATAAAAACATCCAAAACAACAATATGAAAATTTGACAATTCATTTAAGCAATCATGTACGCAACCGAATTTTTAAATTTTGTATTCAATTCAGTGAAGTTTTCTTTTTTCTTTTTATTTTTTATTTTTTTTTTTTTGAAAACGGAGCTCTGAATACAAATCAAACTTTGTCTAATTGTCATGCTTTTTATTTGAGAAGAAACACATCCAATAAGGAGTTAAACACACTCATATATTTCTGTTCAAGTGAATGGATTAATGATTGTACAATGTTCTTATTACGGCTGATGTGGCTGACCGGTGGTGGTGATGGTGGTGGTGGTGGTGGTGGTGGTGGTAGTAGTAGTTATGGGTTTATTAATGATATAGATAGATAGACGACATCATATATATGAGATGAAGAGGAGTAGGAGGAAGAAAAACAATATAAAAAATAAACTTGTATTACTCACCACTTTCATAATATTTTGATATCCGCGGCAAGGCTATGGGTGTGGTGATAAAATAAAATATATTAAAACAAAGTTATTCAATAACCAGAACAAACATTCGTGATGAGTGAACGAGAGAGAGAGAGAGAATAAGAGACAGTGTGATAGAAAAAGACAAAAGAGGTGGCGACATAGAACGCGAGAAGAAGAGGCAAAAATGACGAGCATTATGTACCAAATGTACATAAATGTGCAGATGTTTTTCTAGAGAATTATTTTAACAAAAATTTGCATTCGTTACTTTTCAACATTTCCTTCAAATTGATGTCTTATAACCGTTTCCAGCTTAGATATATAGAAAATTTTGAAAGCTATTCGACTGAAAAGTGAAACAAGTAAGAGAATCTCATTCGGTCGTGTCCCAATCCTTTATACCTATGACCGTTATCCTAAAAAAAGACAAAAAAAAAAAAAAAGTAAAAGAATTAAATTTTCATGCCCTATCGTATGGAGTGGGCGCGTCTGCATTTTTTCTACTTTCAAAATAAAACTTTTTGTCTCATAGGCGAGTCCTTGGAAAGGTTGCAGTCACCTTAAAATTCTTTTGCAAATTCGTAGGCGCGGGAGAAACAGACAGATTAACAGTCAAAAAGATGGGTGCGCCTAGGTGCATTTCAAATTTGAAACTGGCCAAGAATTAATATATTTTATGGGATTTTTTAAGCCTCTTTTTGCGCCTCATAAAAGTATTGAAAAAAAAAAAAAAAAAAAAAATTACATTTTTATAAACAATATATTTGTACAGGTGTTATAGCCCCGCCCATAGAATATGGCGATATGATATTTTGTACTTCCGTCTGCTGTAATTTCTGGGTAATGGGCAAAAAAATATATATTTTTATAATCTTTTGAAAAGCAGACGTGTTCTCAGTTTAGGTAGTAGTAGTGTTACGGGCATCCTCAATACGAATCCGCGTGCTAGAACCTCTAAAGTTCCTGCCAACTTTGAAGTGGATAGGTGCATTCTTGCGGCCAGGAGATTGTCTACAACAGGCATTACACAGACGGACGTGCTTAAATCGATTTCGAATTTGATGCTAATCAAAAATGTATGTATCTACGTTTTGGGGTCTCTGTAACTTCCTTCTGCGTATTGAAAATGCCTTTATAAAATGAATATACCCCCTTCGGGTCTTTCGTTGATAGGCACAAAAATACTGGCGTTCTTTTTCTCTTCAATAATGATATGATATATAACAGTGGAGAGAGAGAGAGAGAGAGAGAGAGAGAGAGAAATCACACCGATATTTACTTAAATAATATTCTTTTTGTTGTTGAATTGAAGAAAATCGAAAATATTGAAAAATAACGAGTGCCAGTTGCAGTTATTTCATTCTCGTTGGTTCATACATCGGGGAAATGTAGCTATCTATAGGAGTACTTTCGGTTACATGAAGCAAATACACTTGAAGTATACACGAATATGCTTACATGAGCAAGTATTGGTTTCAATCAAGCGGCATCGAATATATTATAAGACTTGCTTTGTTTTCTAATTTCCTTATACTCGGAGGTCAAAATTTATAATACATTCATTCAATTCGTATTTAAAGGCTAAAATTGACTAACGCTATCTTTATCATATGTATGTTAGAGTAAATGACTAAATAATATTCGTTAGAATTAGTGTCACATAAACATATCAAATTTCAATTTCTAACTTCGATCTGTCCCGGAAGGCGGTTCATGATTACAAGCTGAATTTGTATAAGTTCGTTTGTATATGTTCGTTTATTAAACATAATAGATCGGTGGAATGCTATGGATTACAGGTAATAAGTTAAATACAAGTGTCGATGAATGAAAATATTTTCTCTACTTTAGTTTTATATAAAATAAAATTTTCAATTTTCATCTGAATTACTCTCCTTTCTCTTCCATTGATTGTTGTAAAACTACAAATAATTGTAAAGCAACCAAAAAAAAATTTACACAGTTTTATGCTTCTTGACTTTCCTGTCAATTGCAATTGAAAGTTCGAAAATTGATACTTGTATCTCGATATTTGTATCTCGATATTTGTATCTGGCGCCGTTGATTCAAAGCGATAGAATTGCGTATTTTTTTTTTTTATTTTTTTTTTTTTCGAAAGTTCGAGTCCGACATTAAAGGCGACAAGCGGTAATAAAATTATTTATATAGAAATAAGTAGAGAGAGAGAGAGAGTCATTAATTTGGAATGTTCTGAACGAGAGTAAACCATTCGATCGTGTATTTCTTATTTCGCAATCGAGAAGATTGCGAATGCAATATAAAGAAAAAAAATTGTAAAATTTCCTTATGGGAAATGTCACTGATAAAATGATCGGTCATGTTCAGTGTAAGTGTTTTTGATGTAAAGCGAGCGAAAAGGAGTTAAAGTGAGAAAATTAATATATTCAGCATGTTAGCTATTCTTTTTTTTTTTTTTTTTTCATTATTTATTTAATAACACATTGAGCAGAAATGAATTTTTATGCAATACAAGAAAACGAGAGCTCACATCAAAGGCCATCGGCTTGTAATCTTTTCTTCTTTTGTGCGAAAGAAAATTTAGATTCAATTGAAACATTTATTAAGAAAGGTTCTTCACTTAACGGGCACTGAGCAACGTTTTGGCCAAAAATTTATATGACGAAATCGAAGATGAAATATATAAATGTTTAATTGCAGAGAGCTTGAATAATATAAACTTGTAAGAAGCTTCTTGTGATCATGAGCTTTTATTTTATTTATTTATTTATTTTTTTTTGGGTTGTGAAAATGAATGCTGATGAAACGGTGCTGACGAAGCTTCCAAAGGCAACAATCGTCCAAGTGGGACATGTAATAGAGAATAAAATTTAAGGATTACGCTATTGATTGGGAGCCACTACAATCATTTACAATAATTTCTGGCATTTACTTTCAAAAACTAATGAGTCTGGATAAAGAAATAAGGAAAAAAAAAATAATAATAATAATAATAAAATAATTTTAAAAAGATTTTTGTATTCGCGGATGACATTTTCTGGCCACAGGTGGGAAAAACTCAAACATTGTTTGGGCGATCGTTTTGTGTCTCCTTTACATTATTACGTGAGCATCGTTTGATTGCCAATAATCTCAAATTTTGCCAAACCTTTTGCATTAGGAGGCTTTCATTGACGATCTTGACTTGAGATCGTACTTGATTTAATTTTTCGCTTATAAAGAGTAACAAGTAAAGATATTGTAATAGGCCACGGCCAACCACTTCGCTTAATACATTTATTCATTTTACGACGTTATAGTACGGTATAAAGTGTTAGTTAGGAGATGGTCGAAGAACCGATCCCATCTTAGTAAATTTTCGATAGCATTCGTGCATAGCGATATGCGGCGTAATCAAAAGACTACATGGGCAGACATCAGACGGGGAGGCAGGCAAACAGATAGATCATCAGATTAGATAGATTCAGGAATTGATCCGCAAATCCTTCTGAATGTCTCTCTATGTATATATCCGCAGTAACTTGAAATACCCCCTACTTAGTCGCGAATGATGTAGGATATAAAAATGTGAAATCATCAAGTTCACAGCTATGGTATGCCAGAACGTATAACTTCATATTGCTTTGTGTAAAAAGTGTGTGTTATTGCATTTTATAACGAAATTCCGTAATCACTTTGTTGTCTACTTTATCAGCATAGCTGCCTGCCTTCGTTAAAAAGCTAAATTGCTGCAATCGTTCTACATAAATCGTTTCAGGTAAAAATTTTAATCGTATTTTTCAACTTTAAAATTTCTTTAAATAATTTATTAATTTGGTAGTTATATATATGCGCGTGGGCGTAGGTGTATGTGTATGTATATATGTGTGTGTGTGTTTGTGTGTATATATGTGTGCATGTGTGTATATATGTGTGTGTGTATAAGTGTGTGTGTGTATATATATATATATATATAAATTTATGTATATATTTCTATTTACATTAAAAATAAGACAGTTATGAGTTTTAATAATTTAGTTTCTTTAGTTTCTTTTCTCATTTATTTAGCATGGCGAAGTTAGCTCATTAGCATCGGTACTGTTGTCCTCAATAATTTGATTCGCTTGACGACAACGCCCAACTATTGCGCTGCTTTGGTTATTAGACTTAGCTTTAGCATTGCTTGACAAGCCATCGATCGTTAACCCAGCCATAGGCTTTATCAACTGGAAATGTTTAGTAGTGTATGTACGACCCAATAATAAGGGGACATGCTCTTCTAAAATGGAATCAACAAAATAATAAATGATAAAAATCAACATCAAATCATAAATAAATATGAATAAAAAAAAAATATAAAAATAAAAATAAAAAGAAAGAAAAACAAACAATGAGAGAAAATAAAAAGAAAATTATTTGTATTATGTAAGGTGTGTATGTAGGTGTTTAATTGGCTAACATATGTGTGTATATGTGTCATTTCTTGCTTGCTGTACCTTTTTTTTTTTTTTTTTTTGTTTTTTTTTAAATACCAAAAAAAAAAAAAAATTTATAAATTTTTAAATAAAAATACATAATAATAAGAGCGAATGCATGCATGAGAACAATGCGTACGTAACGTTTTTACAACAGGCATCTCAACTAGAACTAATAATGAAATTAGGTTTATGACTCTACAGGTTGTTCGTGACTCTACATTAATTTATATAATATGTACATGATATTGTATTTTCGGTACGTGTCTTAGTTATGCTGGATATGTGGTGTGCTGTCCGGTGCAACAACACCTTGATAAATTTATACATACCTTGAAGCTGCCTATTTATTAAAGCTGTCAGACTGTGTCCTTCGATGCTCTTTTTCATTATAAGCATTGGTTTGTCTTCCGCATCATCGTAACCGCCTGACGGCAAAAAACCGTTGCTGGCAATTGATTCACTAACCTGAGATATAATTAAAACGTATACCAGTGTTATACATACATAAATATATATACATAAATATATATATATATATATATATATATTTTGTTGACAGGATTTTTTTTTTTTTTTTTTTTAATTATATATATAAATAAAAATATGTATATGCGTCGTATGGATATGAGATATCTGCTTTATTATCGTATTTGTCACTTATTGTAGGAAGAATTTTATGATAGAAAATCGGTTTATAGCTCTTGATATCGTGTAAAGACGATGGCTATCGATTATCGGCTCACTGTAACAAGTACTGAGCTTACCGAGCTACCGATCAATTATGCATTTCTCTTCCGATCGCATGAAATATCTTTCGAGTAATGCATTCAAATTACGATCAAGTTAAATCCTAGTCGACAGCTATGAACCGGTTACTACATATATTTCCAAATTGACAAATAATCTTTCGCAGATTAAGCTTGAATTATGGTCCCAATGTATTTGAATTTGGTTATTTAAACTTTTTCAACATATATTACTGCCTACGCCCTTGTTTCGTCCGTTTGTATTTGCATGGAATGTAATGCACTAGCATTGACTAAACAAATTTTTTGTTCCATGTAGCGACTTGCAAAATCTCACTGCAGACATCTACGCTTAGGATTCTATGAAATTCTGCCGTCTACATTGGCTTGGTGCATCGTGCGCGCCCGACGCTATAATGTATTCCTCCAGGTCTTTAACTGGTATCTGATTCGGGAGACGTACGCTTAGTGTTCACACGCAATATGGAGGAACGTTTCCACCGTCCCATCGCAAAATCTGCGGTGTTCGAGATACACCCCTTTTTCTAAGGGAAAATTATCGCTTCATAGCCTTGTCATGTATGAAAACATTCTTAGTTTTGGTATGATTTTGCCGATTATTGTTACGGCCTGTAACGCACTAACAATAACGTTTAAGAAATGTCATCTTTTAACTATTGCGAGCAGATCATACCAAATTTTCAAATTTTACTTATGGCAATCACTAACTAAGATTTAATTACTATGTCAATTTTTTTGGTGCGTAAGGCCGCCCAAGATGTATGTTCAACAACAAAAATATGTATATGCATTAGAAAAGCTCTTCGGGATTCTACAAAATTACTTTAAACAATAATTCGCGACCGAATTGATGCTTACCTGAGTCACTTGCATTAATTTCTTGACAACATCTCTGCCTAATATGTGATCGAATACTGTTTGCAGAAACGGTTCCGCCATAATGGATAATTTTAGCTTATCTCTATGCCAAATTAATACCCTTGACTCTTCCATGGCCATAATTGACACCTGGCAATGGATTCATTTTAGCTTTAACATGATTAATACATGATAAGTTATATAAGATATATATACCTGAAAATAGTCATCTGTGGATACACCAAACCATTCTGGAGAATCTAGGAACTGATGGGGAAATACAATATGTAACGCTCGTTGATTTTGTGAGACAACCAATCTGCAAAGCAAAACAAGAAAAGTTTTCGTTTTTTTTTTTTTTTTTTTTTTTTTTTTTTTTGCATCTTTCTACATTTATTAAGAACAAGTATTATGTATACAAGCGTACACGCGCCCGCACGCATGATTGTACACACACACACACAAACACACACACATACTTACTTTCCTGACAGAACCAACGACAGACTGTCAACTTTGGTAACTTTTTCTTGTGCATAAACCTCTTGATATTTAAGGGCACGTATGACTTTCATGCAGTTTAAGACTTTCTTAAATTGGTGTCGCGATACACGCAATGGTTTGAACAGAGATGCATAAACCTAAAAAAAAAAAAAAAAAAGTAAAGAACAAATGAACCATCCATTATAGTTATTAATAAACGTTTATTTACTTATTTTTTTTTATTTTTTCTTATTTTTTTATTTTTTGTCAAATTATAGAAAATTACAGTTTGTATGAGAACTTGTATGTATGGGTTTTTAATTCATACATTTCGTGTGCATGTTAAGAATTTCAGGAATAAAAAAAAAACAAAAAAAAAAAAAAACAAAAAATTCAGCAGAAATAACTAAAAGTTCGATGACGCCTGTCAGTTAATCTTTACTTTGTTGAAAGTTTTTAATTGTAATCTAATCGTTCCGACGTAAATGCGTTTAAAACGTATCTCTCTCTCTCTCTCTCTCTCTCTCTCTCTCTCATAAACATTGTCCTACATAGTTAGGTGATAGATGGAGGTGTAGCAACGACAATAACGAGAACAACAATAATAATGACAACAATAATAATGAGAATAACAACAACAGCAATAACAATAACAACAACAACAAGATATTATTTATGTATTTAACGTTTTTCTCATAAAAACATTCCATCTATCAAAGATGGAATATACCAACTAAATGCAGCTATAAAGTGCAGACATCACTGATAATGGCCGAGTCACGTACGCCACACAGCCGCTAACAACAACATTTGTTTCCCCTGAATTTGTGTGAATTTCAGTTCTCACACAACAACACCGCACAGATAAATTGCAAGCGTAAACAATCAGGTTTACAACGTTCACTTATTGCAATTAAAAGCAAAAAAAAAAAAAAAAAAAAAAAAAAAAAATTATCATACTATAGTGCATACTGGAGCTCTCACTGAAACGAAGAGGAATGGAGGAACACAAATCGACACACGGACGCACACATATTCATAGTTATTATGAAGAATGGCTTGATACGCGATCCAGCAGACTACAAGAGATCATTAAATCACTTTAAGTGAAAAGAAACAAGCGCATATTTGTTTTCTCAGCTTAGCGATCATTTAGCTGAAAATATTCCGCTATAAAGACGTACGACGACATCTCGAAGAAATTGAGATATTTGGGTTTTAAATGAGAGAAAGATCGTAAGCGCTAAGACTCTTTCTTCCGCTCTCAAATCACAAACGAATTTTCCGTAATTATGTTGTAAAAGTAGAGAGCGTTTTGTTAAAGTCTGAGCGCAGCAATTGGCTCGGCTCTGCCTGTCAACGAAAAAGAAAATGGTCTCCGTTAGCATAAAACACTCTATCTGTTTCTACTTGCCGTCTTAATTGACTTTAAAAAAATCTGCTTAAAAAAATCCACTAACTCTTAACGGACTAATAATAAATGTCATGGACAGGACTGACGACAATACAACTATGTATTTTAAACTGGGTCGGTCTTTAGTTCTTTTTATATCAAACGATTACTCTACACTTATTATACATCATACACGCTAGACATGCAAAGGAAAGACAACTTCATACGTAGAAGTAGGTCGGTCTGTCGCATCCTCGAAAGAGTGTCAGTGAGCAGTGTTAGAAGAAAACTGCTGAGACGATATTTACATGTACAGAAAACAATCAGTAGTGCAACCAAAATCTTAAGATAGTAATCAAGATGAACACATATTTCTATAAACTAAGAAAAACAACAAACAAAAGTCACAAAAACAAACAAAAAGTCACTCTATAAAACCTACAAAAATAAACATATTGCGTCTGCACATAAACACATGCGAAAATTCTACGGTTCGCAGTTGTTTTCCGTTTGCTCATGTGTTGAACGCATTAAGAGAATCGTATATTAATTATAAATTAATGTAAAACAAAAAAAAAAAAAAAACAATTCATTATGACATAAACATGTATTCATCAATTCCGTTCAACATACGTAATTTATTTAGTTTAAAAAAAAAATACATTTTTATTATTAAATGGAAACACTATCGCAAACCACTTTCTATTTCGTTGCTTTGGTTTCATTTCCTTTTTTCTCCAAAGGTTAATCCACTTAACACAGCATAGAAATGCGCAATGCCAGATACGACATCCAACCCTTTAAAGTTGCAGCAGCTTGTGAGAACAACTGAAACTTACATCGTTCGAACAGCAGCATCTGAGTTATCAATAAATGAAATTTCGCGAAAATTGATTGTGCGACGACAAGTCCGTTGATATTTCCATTCTCTGCATATTCATGAAAACCTATTGCCTGAAGCATTGTATACTTGCATTTGAAGTCTTCCGTAAGACATCTTGCTATGCGCGCGAAACACCGCTTGGTCGCTTATACGTAAGACGAACTTCGATAGACTTTCCTTTTTTTTTCTTATTTCATATAGATATTGAGAAATGGAAAGGCCATTGGAAGAATTTAGAAAATTTGTCCAAACGATGTCCGAGGAAGCAAAGAAAAATGAATTGTTAACCACTTACTGCATATTGGATTACCTTAAAGTTATTAAAAGTTATTAAAAGTTAATGTAATTCATAATTCATCTATCTATTCGATATCGTGAATTCATAAAACCTTCGATTTTTTTTTAGCATCTGTACTAGGCGATGGTGTTCAAAATATTAATCCATCCGATCCAAGTTTCTCAAGTCGCGAAAGTTTAAAAAATGACATTTTCTTTCATATAAGGCCTTTTCCAAATAGGCGTGGTCGTGGTGGTGGTAGTAAAATTGATTCAATATAGGTCATTTTCAATGGGGTTCGTCTATGGATCAAACGGACACCTCACTGTATCAAATGTTGTTAGAGTATCTTTAAAAATTGCGACCACTATGCGGATTGAAGGCAAAGACCTATAGACAAACATCAGATAATGGGACAAACGTACAACAAATAAGCCTAAACTGATTAAGAAAGTTATTCTAAATGAATTGATGGAATAAAAGCAGCGTCTACCTTAAGCTCTTGTGGTTGTTACATACATCCAAAAAAATATAATACATTCTGCAATAGAAGTGTTTTCGTGTATAATGAGAATAGCATACCAATTGATGGCTATCCACAAGATTCTGTCATCTGCGCCGTAGAGATGTCCGTTATATCGATTTACATATTCATAAATGCTGTCCTTTAAAGGTTAAAGGTAATATTTAATTTTTTTTTTGGGTTTGTAGCTATAGTGAGTGCTCAGTCGGCAACGACATACCACTTACCGATTGGGCACAAATCCACTAGGCTACGGGCTCTATCTCCCTATTTCTTTCTCTTTCCTTTCTTCTGGGGATATCTCCTGAGCGATTGGCCATATTTAAAAAAAAAAAAAAACCTTTAACTTTAAGTAACTTTATAATTAAATTTAAAATCCCATTTCTATAATACATCATTCAATAAGTCTCGGGTAGCATGGTTGAGAGGGCCGTTCTAATTTCTGGATAGTACCAACGTTCAAACGTTCAAACGTTCATCGTCTATCCTAAAACGGGTTGAAGGATCAATAGCGGATATTATGTAGCATTACAAATGCATTTGAATAACGATCGCAGACTTATTGAGCGATGTAACATTTTTGAAGGTACATTTTTAGATGACAACTTAGCAATGATTTTATTATAATATAAATAAATATTCTTTTATAAGTGCTAGAACAAAATGTTCTCTTTTGCACAAAGAACATAGGTATATAAATATTGTATATGTATAATAATGTATTCCTGTTTAAGCAACAACAAAGAAGCCCTTCCCAATCTCATGTTGTTAAACTCATCGGCTTTAGCATAAAAGGCGGAATGAGATCATTTAAAATACTCGATAATTCGTGCACTTGGACGCTCCGAATATAGATGGACCTTGCAGTGAAGCTTAGCTAAGCCGATATCCCTTTTACATAAGACAAGGCAGTTTTACTTTCTTGCTTATTCTTGTTTTCTACGTTTTTTGCGAAAAACGAATCGTCTCAGTTTAAATGAATTATGCAATTTTTACAAAAATATTGCTATGATAATAAAGATGAAATGCTTTCGACATCATATGTCATCATATTGATCAGCGTTATATTTCATGCTGACTTTTGCATATATTGTTCTCTTGCTACACTCGTCGTCGTCGGATACAAAAATGAATGAAGAATGCCAAAATTTGCCAAACTTGGCACACGAGATTCCGTCCCCTTTTACATTTCCCTCTCCTTTTCAATACTTTCTGGCCATCATCACCGTACAATGCACACAATTTAGGGGACGCATCCCTTGAGTGATTGGTCATAAAAAACAACAAAAAAAAAAAAAACTACAGCATTTTTATTTTTTTGATTTAAATTGGAAACTGAGTGTATACTCACTCATATTTAACGTACTCAGCTTACGTATATTAACAGGAAAAACACACACCTATAAAAACTTGATATATAAATATATTCCAGGGCCACTTAAAAGTTCATCGTAAAAATGCGGATAATATAGAATTATAATAAATGACATTGTAGAAAAATATTTCATATTTAAAGATCTCTTTAAAAGTGTATTTATGTGTAAAAATACCAAACACGCCCAAGTTTAATTACTTTTTAATATTCTCCTATAATAGTACAGTGTTTTAGTGTCGAATATTATTTTTTACGTCTTCTTATTAGAAATGTGCGGTCACGGGACAAGTTGAAGTTGTTGAAGTTGGCACGAGGCGAATGCATGCTTGGCTTGGGGGGGGGGGAGGACCAAATCACACTCTTCCTTTCCATTATAATACGATTATATACGTTTGATATCGTGCATAAATGTAATCATGTCCGGTAAAATCTTCGTCTTCTTTTAGCAACAACCGACTTGTTGATCACTCTTCGATCTTTATTAATCTCTACACTCAAATATATGGGGATGTCAAAGAAAATGAAAAAAACCTAACATTGAATAGCACAATGAAGAGATTAGGAATCTACATATACAGATAATAAAAGCTTCTTCTTCTTCTTCTTCTTCTTCTTCTTGTCTTTTACACGAAACCAATGACCTGCAGTAATAGATTAGGCGATTCTGTATTTTGTAATTAAAAGTAAATGAATATTTGAAAATTCATTTTCATTATGCTTTCTCACTGCTCCATTACTTTTCCGGTACTAGAGAAGCAAATTCATTACTTTTCATCACCGTCGGTCTTTAGACGCGCTGCCGTATAGCGTCGGTCTATAAAACAAAGTGATTTCTAATCGTTTCGCTACGGTGTAGAAAGGGACCGAGTAAAGTGAATTTCATTTACACTAACCTGTTCTAAATTATTCATTTCTATATGCAAATAATTAACGCACATAGACATACATGTGCATTTGAAGTGATATGAATACCGTCAGACCATAAAATTTGCAATTGCAAAAAAAAATTAAAAGTTTATAATTTTATATAAAATTGATTGCATCGATTGATATTATAAATGATTCAAATTTTAGATTACATCGCGATACGAAGTTCAATTGCTGTCGCTGTCCTTTGGAATTTATGCATACGTGCGCGGAGGGGGGTACACAAAAATGACGTAAATTATATATATATATATATATACATATATATATATATACATATATAAAATGAGTATCGAGTATGCAATATCTTTAGATATTACACTGTTTAATTACATTGCTATCAATCAATTACTTACTAATATTTATTAAATGGTAAAACAAGGAAAGCAAACAAGAATCGTACCTTATATCATACAAAGGTATGAAGAAGATAAGATAAACTATTAATTAATAATGATGGCCACTTAGCACGTAGTATACTTGGACATGTCAAGAATTATTTATTTAAAAAACAACAACAAAACAAAAATCAATTTAAAACGAATTTTAGTTACTCAGCACCTCGAAATTAAAATATTAATTAATCGACTAAAATTACTCTTTCTATTTATAACCCATAATCCACCCATCAAGCTTAGAGATACATTCATTTTGTTAAAATTTCAGCAACATGGAGAAAGCATGTTGCACCTCACACACTTGATGTAATATATTATCTTATTCCGTATAGATGGTTTTTTTTTTTTTGTTTTGCCTCAAATTTGGCAAAAGCATAGCACAATTGTTGCAAAACGACAAGTCACTATTGAAAATTGGTCAAATATCGGTGGAAGGAAAACAGTGAGCTGAGAACAATTTTGATTATCAAAGTAAAAATTTCTTTCGATTCTTTGCCCATTACTTATAAAATAGATGTAAAAAAAAAATGTCCCATTTATTATTATCTTAGTATCTGTAGAAAACTAGATCCATGCAATACTATAGAATACCAAAGTATGCAAAGATCAAATGTTATGGGGTGTAAATGATTCGGCAACAGCTGAATATAACAATTCTGACTTGTTAATAAATAACGCAATTAGTTTAAGAGAGAAAAACAAAAGAGAATTTTGATTCATTAAAAATGCATTTTTATATCCTATCACTAGCTGGTGTTTAAATATATAAATAAAAGATTTTCATCACATTATGATTAAATTATCACATATTTCACTAGTTATGGATACACGACAATATATTGCGATTGGACAATAAATCGGATATCATGTATTTAGGATCAAAAAGATTATCGAAATGCTTTAGTTGAAATCACATTCGAGTAAAAACATTTTGTAATACTCGAATAAAATATAGATATGAGGATATGATCTTATTTTTTCTAGCCCTTTCGTGGAGATTAATGGGGAAAAAATGTAGTTCAACTTTCTTGTTCTAAGCGAAATTCGAACTCATAACGCATTCACATAATTAGAAAGAGATTCCATTATTCGTTCAGATCTCTTTAAGGGTATATATAATAGTTTATGGGATTTCTGAGGCATTATTTTCAAAAAAAAAAAAAAAAAAAAAGGAAATTCTTCTAGTCACTAAAACGAGCGTAAAAAAAGTTCTTCGTATTAGCTTTTTGTTAACCTAAAATATTCGAACTCGTCATCCATAATTAAATTCCTACTGAATTTCGGATAAATGAAAGAAAGTCGCAAACCGTATTAAATTGAATTGAATTTGAATATCATTGACAGTGAAAAATGATGATGATGATGTCCTTTATCTATTCTATTAAAATCCTGCCTACGGGGGCATTGTCAATGCAATAGAGCTTCTCCGATAGAGAAATGTTATCGATCAAGTGTTATCGAAAGTTATCGAAAGAGAACTTGGCCACCCGAAGGCTCTGAAGCTCGTTTTCCTTAAGAAGGCGAAGAAAGATTATAAAATTGCAAAGTTTACCTAGCTTTTGTTCATTTTGACTTGTAATCAATCACTTCTAGACTGATTCGATTGAACCAGGCAAACAAGCAAGGCAAGGTCCTGGCATAAATTTAGTGACGACAGTATGAAATCATAATCGGAAATGTACACAAATGTGTAAAATATGCCAAGATCGTTGTTAATTATCTGTGTTCTCATCGCCTGTCTTTAGGCAAGCATGTGTTTGGCCAAGTAGTATATTGTTTGGCAAATTCAATATTTTTTTTTTTTTTTTTTCTTTTTTTGCTTTGTTTAGGGTTTCTACTTTTTTTTATTTTCATTTTTCATTATCTTTCTGTTGACAACAAAAATTTGTTTATATCAGTTTAGTGCACATTCAACGGGAGTCTTGCATGCGATTGTGTGTGTATATGTTTTTAGTGTAAATATTTGATTCAACGGCGGCAGTAAAACCCCTATTTGTCGCTGAATTGCTTTTATGGAAGCATGTGATTGCAGCTTACACGCTTTATATATATATATATATATATATATATATATATATTGGGGGCTATAAATTTTTCTTATAAGAATTTCAAAACATTTATAATTCATTACGTGTGCTGTATATAGACGTCAATGGAAGGAAAAAGGAAATAAAGTGTAAACATCATCCAAGCAATCGTTCTTAACGATCAATGGTTCAAAGTTTTCTTTTCTGCTTTTTTTGGTTTTTTTTTTTTTTTTTTTTTTTTTTTTTTGTTCAAATTTGTAAAGAAGAAGAATGAAAGTCAATCGGCTTGTAGGCATTCTGAGCTTTAATTATATGGGCGTGGTAACGGGAGGAGGAGCGAGAGACTAAAATTTACTCGAAAATCACTTGGTATCTAGCAGCCATTGCGCGAGGGCATAAAATCACTAAACTCCAATGGTAATGGGATCTGGATTAAGAGAGAACGCAAAAGAGAGAAGGGAGAGAGAGGCAGAGAGAGAGAGAGAGAGAGAGAGAGAGAGAGAGACATTATGATGAATATTAATGATGATCTTGTCAATTAATTCATTTGCTTAAATGAGAGTCACACAATTCAGCAAATATGCTTTGAACGAAACGATGACACAAACCGTAAATGAGCGTAAGTAACTTTTTTTTTTGTTTTGTTTTTTTGTTTTTTCGTCTGCCAATGCTCTATAGAAACAGCAATCATTTGAGAATATAAAACATTGCAACCGATTGCTGGATAAATCATTAGCATTTGTTTGTTCATCGCGTGAAAGTCGTCTGCTGTTCTCTGTACGCAACTGAATATAAGAATAGAAAGAAACAATATAATATTGTGTGTGAATAAAGAAATCGAAAGAGCAGCACGACTTATTTATTATATTATAGTTAGCATCATTAAAAGAAGAAGAAGAAAAATTCGTGCAAAGGAACGCATCTAAGAAATTTACTTGATATTTATTATTCTTAATAATAATAATAATAATTGTTTATATCGAGTGTCTGTCTCTTATTCAAGTAAAACCAAAGAGCTCCATTATCGTTAAGTGAAGCGTTATTTTAATAATATTTTTTATTGTTTTCATACGCGTGTGAAATATATATTAAAATCAATTTAAGCCAATAAATAATGTGCCATAATTCGATATTAGAAAACGAGCAAATCGACAAATGCGTCGAAAATGGTATGCCGCAGAAAATCATCAAGACATTAAAATTTACAATGAGGAAGCGGGTAAAGGAATACAATACTAAACAGCATGAGGAAAAAATTAATTCAACAACAAATGTACTGCATGTGGATAATAATGTTGAATTGGATGTAGCTTATGCTGCCGAAGATACTCAATTAAATAAAGATTTTGTTGGTATCGAGTCGTCGTCGTCATTGTCGTCGTCATCGTCATCATCATCATCATTATCATGCATTGGTGAATTGAAAATTCCGAAAATGTGTGGTCGCTTTCGTCAAGCTCAACTAAATAAATTCGAAACACCAATAACTAATATCTCTGATCATCATTATCAATCTAATGGAATGATCAAGAAGGCGTCTTTTAACGACGATCCATTGGCGAAAGTTACTCAATCGACTAAAGAGTTTCTATTACGTTTTCAACGCACTATCAGGAACATGCAAACCAGCAAAATTTATACGTAAGTGAAGAAACCACACTCCACCACCATCTAAATGTAAGAATTAGTTATTTGTAAACATGACATTAAATGACACCCTCCTTTCACTGATAATATATATATATATATATATATGGATGTGTGTTTATGCTTTTGCGGTTAAACAATGAAATTTTGACGACTTTTTATGAATTTTTGCATTTTTTCTCTTTCATTATTTATTTATTTATTTTTTTATATTTTTTGTTTTTTATTAGCCTTTGCCTATTACCTTATGCTCAATATAGAATGCTTTGCGGTAAGCATTAAGACACTTTCTGTTCTGTCTGATCAATACTCATGAAATTCTCCTTAGCGTGCTTGGCTGTACTTGTGTACACGAAAAAATACTCTTATGTCAGTTGACTGTTATTTGCATGCATACATAAATTTCTTATATATATATTTATATACATATTGTGTTGAGGGTCGCATAAATACCGATTTAAGGGGAAACCGATACCATGTTGAGGGGAATAGCGAATGTTTGTTTCAGTCCAATGAATAAAAGTTGCATGCGTTTTCGCACGTACGCCAGTCATTGTTTGCCATTAAAGCAAACAATTTCTTGCCGGCCGACGCCTGAATAGAATGCATAAATTCTCAGACAGACAAAGTTAATTTATATTATGCAAAATGTATATGTTTGCTATAGATATTCGGTTCTACTATTGCAGATTGCTGACGAAAACTACACAGCCCGCTCATATCATAGCCATCTGCATATTGTCGTTTGTATTGCTCGTTGTTTGGCCCGAACTTGTCGATTGGCAAACGACCAATCGTGACCTGGACCAAACGGTGGAGAGCCAACGGCACTGGGAGCCGAAAGAAAGAAGACACAACGAGAATACGATCGCATTACTCGTCTATTTGGGATCATTTGCTACACATTTTGGTGCTCAAATATGGATGACCTTTGTCTCAGGTGTGTGACAGCGTAACTGCAAATGATCTAACATATTGATATATATATATATATATATATATATATATATATTGATATACATATATATATATATTGATATACATATATATATATATATATATATATATGTATATGTATATAGGAATTGAATTTCATTTTTCATATTATTTTTTTACAGGTCTATCGTTATATTTTTCATTACCTCGCCATATGTTTGGTATGTGCCAGCAAATACTCTTCCCAAAATATTTTGCACTCAACGCGATGCTCAGTATTGTTATGCTCATACTTTATGTGAAATATTTTTTAACGACTTGGACGTTAACTAAATGCGTACAGCTTGGCACTTTAGCATGTACCGGAGCGATCGAAGTCATTGTTAGATTATATCTGGCACCTACTTTGCTATTGTTGATGCATGAAAAATACAAGATTGAAGGAACTATTGGTAGCGGCAAAGAAATTGGTAGCCTTGTACAAGGAGATTTAGTGAATTGTCCGCATTATCAACGCATTCACAAATCTTTTCGTCGCTTGCATATGGCTGTTGCTGTTGGCAATATCCTAACATTGGTGGCCAGTTGTCTACATTTACACTATCTGGCTGCCCAAATACACATTGCCGTTTGAAGTGCAAATGCATGCAACTGCCGATTATCGTTACGTTATAGCCGGCAATCAATTCATCTTTAAGAACATATTACATTAAATGTTATGAAATCTTAACCAAAAATTTTACATGCATTTCTAGTTAAGTTAGATAGACTGTGTTTTTGTGTTATTTTAACACATAAAAGCAACCCCCCCCCCCTACACCACCACCCAACTCACTCTGCTACATATCACGTTATATGCGTACAATGCGAAAATATGTATGCATGTATGTATGTATCTATTGGCAAAATGTAGCTATATAAAAAAAAAAAAAAAAACTGAATGAATTCTTGTTTTTTTTTTGTTTTTTTTTGTTTTTTTTTTTGCTTTGTTTAAATTAGATAAGTAGATATCGCATAATTTAATATATTGTAGTTAGCAAAATTGTATTTAACCTAATTTTTGGCCTCTAATGGGTCAATTTAATCTAGCATTTTATGTACGTATTCATATACGAAAATACGATTGCAAAGTATTAACGAATTTATGCCAAACGTTATTTTCGCTTTTCATTAAAAACAAAAAAGAAAAAAGAGAAAAAGAAAAAAAAAAAAAATTTAATAGATCTGTGATATCTCTTTCGAATCATTAAACGAGTTGACACCCAAATCTTTTATGATTATTACATTACAATATATATATATATATATATATATATATATATATAACTTTGTTCATATATATGTTTCATTTACAACATAACTGTATCAAAAGAAAAAAAAAAATTTTATTTAAAAAAATTTATTTAAAAAAAAATCTCTGCGTGTTTTTCTAGTTTTTCAATGAGGTAAATAAATTAACCCAAATCTCTTTGAACTTCTCACAACAAACGACATACGGAGGAAATCATTTGCACTAGAACAGAGAGAAGAGAGTGTTAGATATTCTAAATTAGATTCACGCAATTTTAAATCCATGTATGCAGTTCATTTAATCAATTTGCACTCAAATTGCTCCGACATTGGCGACTAATTAACACAATTCTTATTTTACGAAATACTATTCCTATGCCTACTGCGTTTGTAACGTACAGAGACAGAGACAGAGACAGAGACAGAGACGCATATATTTCACACACACCTTCCATTCAATTTTGCCGAAAAGAAGTTCATGATCGCGGAACGCCGTCATTTAAATGAAAGTTCAAAGTATCCTTGCAGCCTACTTTCGAAATTGACAAACAGATAATAATCAAAGCTGGCAACAGGCGGGGAGAAAATTTTATCGTTTTAGTCATCGATTGCGTTCAATATCATCGGTGTCTGTACGACTTCCTTTCACACATAACATCGTCACCACAAAACATCAACAAGTTTTCTTCTTTGCACGGCAAAATATTGGTCTTAACGCTTTCCAAGTCAACGGGCCATCGCTAAAAGCCGTATTTAATTAACGCACAATATTCGAAAAACTGCCCTTGTTTCGACACTAGCAAACATAGCATCATTAAGGTCACAGCACGTATCTCGTAAGAAAAAAAATATATATATATATATATCGAAATTATATGAAGTTTTGACAGGAATCGTTTAAGATTTTGAACTTTTCAAAAACAATATGCATTTCTTGTTAGACACGACGTTCGACGATCAATCTCGCGAATTATTGATCTGCTCATGTTGAAGCTTTAATAAAAAATCGGCATAATTCGCCTACAAATACGGCGAAGAAAAGGCAGCTCATAGCCTATAGCATGTTTTGATTAAAAAATCTTGTATTAATATTTTTTGGAAATAATTAAAGGACCAAAGTAACTATTGATCCCGATCGTACAATTGACATGCTCTTGTTTGATCAAATATTTTATATTTTTAAAATATTGGTTTAAGATGCGGACACAGTTTCGTTCTTGCTTGTTCAGATGTCTGACTTTTCAGAGTTCTTGAAAAGTTTAAAGCGGACCATTTCGTCGGTACATATTTAATTTACTTCCCAAAAATGTTATTATTTTTCAGTTTCCATTATAAAAAAATTAGAAATTAGATTTCCTCCCCATATAAGGTCTTCAGGATAACATCTATATATGTATTGGGATGTGAAAAATAGATCTATATATGACCTAAATTGCATATCATTCATTATTTTGCTCGACCGCTACTACGGACTAATTTTCACCATAAAATACTAAAAATGAAATCTTATTCTGAAGGACTTACTATTCGTGAGAAATCTTATATAAAGTGGGTTTCAAGAAATAGACTCAAACTTGATCCACTTGATTTTATTATGAAAAAATTACCCTTTTAGCATATAAAGATCTACATTTTCACACAAGGGTGATATACGGTGGCGGTAAGATTGACTTCTTTATCATTTTCCCGTTATGAACAAAATTTCACCACGAAAGATTGAAAATTGTATCATTTCTTCATGTAAAGATAATATGAGAGAGGAGGCTTTAAAAAAAATTCCCCAGGCGAACCAAGATTTCCGTAATTCAATTTAGAATGTCGAAGCGCTATTACTTTTGAAAATGACTCGTTATGATCGGAGGGGAGCGGGACTCGAAAAAATAGATCGGTCCCAAGTTCTTTTAATAGTGTTTGACCTTGCGCGAAAAAACATTAGTGTGAAAAATTTTACCAAAAAATTTTAAAAATTACGATATGTCGATTAAATTCAAAAATATATGGGCAGACATCAGATCAATAGATAGTTCTGAATCGATTGGTATAATAAAAGGTGGGTCCATCTTAAGTCCTTCTGAATGTTCCTTCTGAATATCGTATTTTAATATAATGGAAAAGAATGAATTTAACTATGTAGATGTACGATATTTAACGCTGGCCCATGGCCCAATATAATTTTTTTTTTTTTTTTTTAAGTTAACTATTTTAGATATGTTTGTAATCTATATTAAAATTCGAGTCCTCCATTTTCTATCAACTGAAAACCAATGAATTAAGCTCTATATATTTCTAGGTGAATGGCAGCAAACAGTGGAAATATCCAAACAGATACAGATCGATTCAGAAATTTATAGTTATCAAGAATTTTCAAGAGGTTGACAAATTGTACTTTCTTTTGAGGCTATCGAAGTGATCATGTTAAGCGACTGTAAAATGTTAACCGTAGTACAAGTTGCATTCTTAATAATTTAGCAATGAGTCTTCGTGGTCTATCAAAAGAGTACAGACTGAAGTTGTTGTTAAATGATCCCCACAGTTAAATTCTATCAGATTGCACTATGTATTGCACGATATTTAGGTAGAGAAAAAATTGTCATACAGAAACAAGGTTAAACAAGCTTCTAGCTGTAAGCCGTTCAGGGACACTAATTAAAACTCGATCTTCAGTAACAGTTATAGAAAAAATATTTACATTAATTGAAATATGTACTCAATAAAATCTTATTAGCTAGCCAATCAATGCCATTAAAAAGTCAGGTTAGTTTGAAGTTGCATTTACAAGCGAAAATTTAAATAAGTCCGTATTAATTCTTAAATGCATGCTGTTGCCAATTATCTACATTCGAGTTGCATATAACTTTATTTAAAACCTTAGTGTATGTATTTCCGGATGCAAGTTGCTAACCATAGACAAGGGAAAGAAAGAATTTGACATTACTTTTGGCGGCTAAGTTATATCTTCGTTTGGCATTTGAATGTGGCGGGTGAGATAAATTGATTATGTTACTTGGAAAAATATTTTCTCTTTTTTGGACTTTACTATAAAAAGGGATGATTTGTCTAATTGAAAAAGCAATTATTTCTTCTCTGTTGTCAGGTAAGCTATCAATATTTAACGTTGCATTTGAAAATTTTTTTTTTTTGGATATATGCCAGATTTTTGGGAAATATTTTAAGCGTCTAAATGTCTACATTATGCGTTTGTCACATAAGTAATAAAAAGCTGACGTTTTGCGCGTCTTTTGACTTATTTTGCTTTGCTTTTTAGAATGTTTAGGCGGCTACAAGATGAAGATGTCATAGATTTACTCGCAGGACTTGAAAATGGTGCTACTTATGAAGTTAACGCAGTTATGGATGATCTAAACAAAGTTAATTATTGCTCAGACGTATAAAATCTAAAAAAAACTGTTAAAGGATAATAATGATGATGGCGAAAAACAAGACAATGAAGATCGTTCCCCAATTATTCTTGATGTTGCAGCTCGCATATATGAATGCATGTATGGGCATATTTATGTATATGCGTATATATATTTATGTTGGATTAGCCGAATGCTTAAAAATACTGTAAACCTTTGCAATAAGTATATATGTCCCCATATTAGTAAACCGGTAAGGAATGTTTTTACACCGAACTAACAGATAATTTAAACGAGTAACAATTTTTACGGAAATACTTTCACGGGATAGAAAATTATAAACGGAATTCGGGAAAAATTATCAGCATTTTTTCATGCTTATCTCTAGAATGAGAAAGAGAGAAAGAAAGAGAGAGAGAGAGAGAGAAAAAAAGATGAAGAAATGAATTCCTCGTACTTTTCGTTCAGAGTACATATGTGAGTTATGTTATTTTTTAAGTAAGCGATAGTAGACTTTCATTTTGATGGTCGCATCTAACTGTTACGTTGTGTTCGTCTAATCTTAGTATTTTATCTATGAATTTACAAATTTCCAATGATTAGCATTTTGAATTTTAAAAGCATTTCTTAGCTAAATGTATTATTAATTTATTCGAAATATAACTTATATCTAGGTCAGCTTACGAATAATGAAGAGAAAAATGTTAAAATATATTGATCTACTCACCGCTTCGATTTCTCGGTCGAAACGGACCGGACGCAGTTGACATAGTATTACTATGAAATAGATGAAATTAACTCCAAAAAATAATCCCGACCATAGAACGAAATCTTGGGCGCAATCAATCATATAACCATACATGCCCAATAAAATAGAGCCCACAGTTAACATGGCACGTAGCCAAAGCGTTCCGTAAGAGCCGTGGGGAGCCAAAAATGCTAGTAAAAGAAATGCGTTCCCTAGTTGAAAATATAAGTGGTGAGGACGTTGCCATGTTACGCATTGTTCAATCGACCAGTCACCGGGATTGGCCGAACGTATTGTAGCGTTATTGTCCCACGATGACGATGTGGCGCCATTATTTGCACTCGTGCCACCACCACCGCCACTACCGCCTCCAGCGTCTGTACCGCCTGCCACTGCAGTCATAGTAGTCGATTCAAGAAGAGAAGTGCTGATAGCATTTGCAACACCAGCATGAATCACAGTATTAACATGACCAGCTGCGATACTATTGATTGTGGTTGGTGGTATGTGAACAGCAGCAACACTAACGGAATTAATTGCACTACCACTAATGGCTATTCCGGTATTGAGATTAGTTGTTTCTACCAGTCCCAAGGCCAGAGCACTAATCAGCAGCATCGCATGTAATTGAACGTTTGAAGAAGGACTCCCCGTTTTAATTTGTGCTATTTCAATGTCTTCTGCAAGTTATTGGATGACGTAATTTGTTGGACACTATGAATTCTGAAGATTTATTAAAAATTTCTTAAGCCTATCTTGACGAGAATAATTGAATCGGTTGAAGTATCGTAGTTGAAATGTTCGCCTTTGCTCCTCAAACATAGTTGTGTTTATATACAGTACGTTTTAGCTGTAAATGTAATAAGAAAGCTGTAGTCGCTTTGTAATCCATGTTATATACCCGCCGCCTAGAGTAGATATATGAAAGTCGCACGGATTTACGTTAATATTGAATGTATCAACGCGCGCGCGCCATTGCATTACTGCAGTGCTCTAATGAATAAAAAAAAAAAAAATGACGAAAATTTTCAAAACCGTCACTATTTCTTGTTTTGCTTAATATATGATATTTAAGCAACAATAAACGTCTTAGAATTTAGTCTTTCATATAAACGCTGAGGTGTTTGAAAATTAAAAAATAGACATGGATAAATGCATCTTAGATGAGCTTTAGAAAATCCATGGATATAAAAACACTATATCATATTCTTAGTGTGGTGGGTATAAAAAGACAAAACGCTCTTATGAATTTATTGAACTGGTCTATTAACCCTTTAAGTTTCAGAATATGTTCTCTCTATGTCGGCGGACTACAACATAAATAGTTTTGTTTATTATCTTCATATTCAAACGCTTAATTGGTGTGTCATATATATAATTCAAATTTGGTCACACAACGTACATAGATTTATAAGAAAAAAAAAAAAGCCGAAAAGCAAACCACACGCGAAAGCGGGTATAATACGTATAATACTCTGCCAAACCGAAAAGCAAGCTTAATACTTGTGTGTATACGCATACATATATATGCATAAGATATAACACAACATGACCATAACTATACATTTAATTATACATATTTATATACTTGCTTAATTTATATATATATATATATATATATATATATATATGCTATATATATATAGTGTGCTATATATATATATATATATAGTGTGAGATATATATTATAGTGTGAGATTTGGGCGAAGGTGAAATCATCTTTACCTTGCCTTCTACATATGTATTTAGTGAATTTTCAAAAACCGCTCCCGCCTGCACACATATTGTAAATTTTTATGTTAATATTAACTTTTAATTGAGAGAACCGCTTTCGAGTTAACTGACAAGTGCATTTATTTCCCTTGTCAAATAGGCACTTACCCGCGCGTACTCAATATTTGTAATTGGTTCTTGATGTAGGAAACTTAATTCTCTGACCCTTTTTTTTCCTGTCAAAATTTGACAAACCGAATGTTGTTCCAAAACATGACGCGAACTCATATGTTTTAGGCAAATTTATTCTTTTTATTATTCAATTGATATCCTATGTGCATGAGTATATACATAGATTAAATATATGCATGTAGGTACTGACGATGAAAGCCTTTATTGCTTAACTTATAATATATATAATAGGTAATATTGCAGTTAGATTAATAATCGCATATTTTATCGCACTGTGCCTTTAAGTCTAGCCGGAAATATTTTCGACATTACGCATGTGGTTACATTTTTATGTCTTGCATTAGAAATTCGATTTTTCAACATATTCTCATTGTCATGGAGATAATCAATTATTTAATTTTATGGTATATAATAAAAGATATATATATATATATATATAGTTTTATATATGCAATTTATGAAAATATATATCACCGTTATCCTTGCACTTTATTATTTAATTTATTCTATTATATTAGTTGAGTGCTCTGGTGTGTGCCATTAGACCAACAATAATAACTTTTAATGTCGTTTAAAAATTTACAACAAAACTTTTGATTGTAGTTAATTTCAAATACACATCTATATATATATTTATATATATTGTATATAGTAACAGTGTAGGTGTGTGCGTTCTAAAAATCAAAAAGTCTTATATTAACATTTGATTGGCTTTTTCCTCAATGCTCACTGGTCGATTTGGTCGTTTAAACTTATTGTAGTAATTATCACTGAAAACCAATAAATATTTCATATATATTTCATTTCCTGAATATACACAGTTAAACAATAACTATTCAAAAGAACTTTTTACGACACACAAACGCGAATAATATACATTAACAAAAAATGGTAAATGATTATTTTATATTCTTCTAATTGCAATTTGCTATCGCTGAAAATCTATTAAACTAGTGATAGCAATTTATAAATATGATGCCGAAATAAGCTGAGCATGATGTATTATCGTAACAATCGATTATGTTACTTCACTGACTACGGAAATAACAGCTGTTTTATTGGCAGCTGTTACTTAGCATAAAAAATTATTTTATTTTTTTTTACTCGCAAATGCAAGTAAGAGACAAGAATTTAATAACTTTGAAATTTTAAAAATGTTCGGAAATATATAAAATATTGAAATGATATTTACATAATTTTATTTTATTTGATTTTATTTAAAAAGCCACTGTAAAAGTCAAATAGATGAAGCCAACATCATACATATGCGTACCGTTTAGAATCAAACTTGAATCAATTACTTAAAAGTAATCGAGTTGGAATAATTCATGTAAACAGATACATATGGTCATGCTACCAAACAAAGATCGGCTTTTCCAAAACGTTAGAAAGTAAATAAATGCAAAACAAGTAAGAAAGTTATGCCCGTCTGTGCGTCCACCAGCATTAAAATTTTTACCGCCCCATCTTTTTATATACGATTATTAAAGTATTTATCTTCCACCTTGGTGTAGGCAAGGAGGATTTTTTTAATTTTTGCACTTAAATAGTAGAGTTTTCTGTGAACTAAATGTAGCCATATTCCATAATCTGTGAGTAATGAGCAAAATGTGATCCGCACGATTTATTTTCATTTTTTTCCAACACGAGCCTCGATGTTCGACTTCCCTCGATTGGTCCAAATTTTCATTTGTGATTGTGTAATTGTTGGGTTCGTTTTGTAGATACAATGGATTAAATTGCACATCCACCAGTAAATCGGATAATTTCTCTGGGCATATATTAATATATTTTTTTGGCTCGATTATCGTATTAGATTAGAAGGAAATAAATTTAATTTTAAATTAAAATAAATAAACATTATTTGCTCTAAATTCTTTTGAATTGATTTTAAACTTAAATTTGCACTGAATTGTAATTGAATTCAAATGGAATTTAAATTAAAATAGATACCTATTTGATTTGAAATTGAATAAAATTTGAATTCCTTTCCAATGCAACTTCTTACTTGTTTTGTGATTAAATTCATGATTTGCATTCTTTATATAATTATCGCGATCTAATTTCTTAAATGTTTGATTTTGATGTATGGCGACCTAAAGCACTGAATACGTTTGGTCTGTTATATAACAGAATCGAATACCTTTGTTATTACAGAGCGAGTTTGTCGAAAAATTTTCGAAATTGCAATTTTTCGACGAATAGATCTTTATATGGGGAATGATCGAAAAAGTAGACAAATCTAAACCATTTTTAATCAGTTAATTAAGTTTTGTCAAGAAATCTTAAAAATTGCGAAGTTGAGCACAAATTTACCTGGACAAACATCAGATAGGCGGACGGACAGACAGGTTCAGCTACGCCTACCTTTTATTATATCGATCGATTCAGAAAATGATTCTTCTGCGTGTCACATACGTCCGTACAAACTTAATACACCTGGCACCACAAGTGATGTAAGATACAAAAGTTGAATAGCCCTTTAGATCAAACAAGCTGTTTGATCTAAATTAAATCGAATACAAGAAATTTAATCTTTTAAATAATTTCACATTAAAATTTAGTCAAAATAAATTCGATTGCAATTAAAATGTAATATTAAGTTGTATCTAAAAGTAGATGAAATTAAATTTCTTGGTAATACCATCTAAACTAAACTATCAAGTCTGTTTTCAAGCAAGTGTTGAGAGGTCTTGGAAAATATTTGAAAAGTTTCTACTTTATTAGATATCGAAATCAAAACTTACATATATATGAAGATGAAATGTTGCTTATCGTTTTATGGATATTGATGATCTTCTTTAAAATGATGGGAAAAGGCGAATGTGTAAATGTGTTGTTCGCAAAATTTACGTTTAAGTCAATTAAAGCAAATGTTGCTCTAAAAGCCGCATAATGCTAATAAGAGCCGCGACAAATATGTTTGGATTAAAATTGCCTCTATGCCGCTGTGTCCATGACTTGTTTTTTGGAATTAAGCGACATTTTTAGCGTAAGCATAGCGTCTTTCAACAACAAAATATATGCAAATTTATAATATATATGTTTTTAATATATATATATATACATACGCCCCCCCACCACCCTACCCCCGTTCCCCATAACCGTTTCATTTCGTTCAACGATGGGTTGCTAAGCTACTAGTGGTAATTGTGAACAGGTAAACAAAAGATTGTATTCCTTAATGCCGGCATATATTGCCTCTTGCATTAGCTTCCCTTCATAAAGCCATACGTAAACACGAGTAAAATATAACGAAAAGCACACAACAAAATATCCTCCGTAGGAAATCACAAATAAAAATATGTCGGTAGGTATTGACAGACAAAAGCATAAAACAGACAATCATCTATCATTGCAATAATTATCAGTGAAACGTCAGCTTACCTCATAAATATATTTCAAATATTTTTGTATATTTTTTATATAATTATTTTCTTAAATCAACGATCTGAAAAAAAAAAAAACGTTAACATCTGCAATCGAATTGCTGTAAACGCAAAAACAAACGAAAAGCCTTGGAAAGCAGAACGAAATTATAAGGAAATTCCATTGACCATCATCACCAAGCGCATTAGAGTCGGGGAACGTGTAACGTCTGCGAGAAGACTGCGTCACCTGTGTGCAATTATTTTTTGCATTTATTGCTGAAAGGATATAATAAAAAGAAAAAAATTGAGACTGATCGCCAAGGCGCCAAAAAATTTAAATTGTAAGAAAAAAAAAAAATTGGAAAAATCACGTAAAACACACAGACACAATGAATTACATTTGAAAAAATAAACACACACACACACGCACACACGCAAATATACACGCGCGCATACATGCTTACATATACGCAAACATCCACAATGTATACGTATATACATAGATGCATGCATACATACACATTTTATATGCATTTATATGTATACAATATATATTCATAAACATAGCAAATATGTTTATATAAATTATCTTTGTTAAAAGATAAATATATATATATATATATATATATATATATATAATATACTTATATTTATGTATAGAAAATTGTACTTCTAATTACAGACCAAATTTCTTATTGCGATTTAACGGTATCCAACCACGCCAGCCACTCATCACTCTGTTACCGTGACGTATATTACAAGAGAATTTAGACCGACTATAAATGTCATTTCAGTCATTGCATCACATAGACAGACACAATTGCTTGCAGACTTAGCAGAAATCGAGCAATAACCGAAAAACGAAAATAAAGGTTAGAGATGCTCTGACGTGTTACTTTCCATTCATTGTTTATTAATATCCATGTCTACATATATTTGTAAATAGTTTTTGTGTCATCTATCATAGAACTAGGCTGAAAAATTGGGTAGTCATCACAATAATACAAACAACATCATTATCACCGTTATCATCGATCTAACAATCGTAATTTAATTTGAATTTATTTTACTGACACACGTTCCTAACAAACGGATTGCATGCACTTGCGAGCGGCTTAAATTTTAAACAATAATTTATTATCTATAAAAAAAAAAAAAGAAAAAAAAAATAATTAGAAAACTAGTTGAAGTACAATTTCACATCTTATCATTGTAAAAAAATTTAGTCCGCCAAGTAAGCATGACAACAAAATCGAAAGCTCAGGAGAAGCAACGAATATCGGAAATCGATGAAAATATTTCAAAACTTTTTGATATTAGAAAGGTAAAGTACTGCATACGGGTTTTGGAGAGTCAATGCTTAACTTAATTAGTTATTGTTGTTGCGCATTGCATGCAGCGCCTTGGTAAAGGGGCTTACGGTATCGTATGGAAGGCGTTGGACAAACGTACTAACGAGACTTTAGCTGTTAAGAAAATATTTGATGCATTCCGTGATGAAACCGACGCTCAGCGTACCTTCCGCGAGATCGTATTCTTGAAGGCTTTTCGAACTCATCCGAGCATTGTAAAATTGCACAATGTCTATAAGTAAGTTTCCTATTCAATATCATTTTCGTATAATAATAGCGTTGCAATATTATTTGAGGGCTTCCAACAACTTGGATATTTATTTGATATTTGAATTTATGGAAAGCGATTTGCACAACATCATCAAAAAGGGGACCATACTAAAAGATATACATAAACGTTATGTTATGTATCAGTTGATAAATGCCATTAAATATATACATTCAGGGAATGTCATACATCGAGATTTGAAACCCAGTAACGTGCTAATCGACAGCAAATGCAGGTTTGAGAGACGGCATTAACGTGATTCAGTTCGTAATGTCTATATATATTTTTTTTTTTTCGTGATATTTTTTTACCCAGGTGCAAGCTTGCTGATTTCGGTTTAGCACGTTCGGTATCTAATCGACCTGTACGACAATGTAATGACATGGGGAGTGACATGCCAAAGGAGCCATTGTTAACTGATTACGTAGCTACTAGATGGTATCGTGCTCCCGAAATTCTCGTGGCTAGCAAAAGGTCTGCAATTAAGAAATCGAAAAGCCCATTCAGTATGATTGTATTCGTTCGACTTTATAGATATACTAAAGGCATTGATATGTGGAGTCTCGGTTGCATTTTAGGTGAAATGATACGGGGCAAACCTTTATTTCAAGGTAGCAGTACAATTAATCAGGTATGTCGTATTTTTAATTGTCATTGAGTGAAAAATTTTTACATTTTTCAACAAATTAGATCGAGAAAATAATCTCGGCCTTGCCGAAGATTACTGACCACGATATTAATGCCGTTGGTGCCGGTTTCGGTTCTGTCCTGTTAAGTAAACAAATTTCTAGAGACAAGTAATGTTTAGAAATTAACTTTTACGTAACTCTTTAATCTGATATATTGTCTATGTTTGTATGTATGTAGAAAAACCTCACTAAATGATCTACTCATTGATGCTACACGAGATGCATTAGATTTAGTAAAATCGTTACTGGTGCTGGATCCACAGGGGCGTTTAACGGCTAAACAAGCTTTAGATCATCCATATGTAGAAAAGTATGTACTTGTTCCGGCATATATATGTAACTTATGGGCGGTTAGTTAATCGCATTTGTTTAGATTTCGAAATTCCATACCAGAATTGGAATTGAATGTCGATATTTTGCCTCCATTTCGGGATGATGTACGCTTAACGGTTCCTGAATATAGATCAAAACTCTATGAAATTGTTCAAGTACCCTGCGATAAAAATTCCGAAATGCGCGCCAGTGATACGTCTAAGCAACGGTAATGATGTGCTCGATTTTAAAAATTAAATTTAATATAAAAATAAATTCGACTTCAAATTGTACATACAGCGAATCGAAACTACGGCATGGGCACGAAAGATTAGATACTAAAAAGTCAACAAAGGTTAGTAAGCAATCGTTGACTTTGGAGGAGAAGTATATTATAAAGGATAAATTGATTATAAAACCTGAGAAGCATGAATTTGAAACACAACAGAGTGGCGGTGGCTTAAACAATGTAATTAATCGGGCATTAAAAAAATCACATGTGTCTCCATCGTCGATCCCTAAACAAAAGCATAGTAAGACTGCTTTGAAACCAATTGGTTTGGAGAGTAGCGATATTAAACATACGGATTGTAATGTAGAAGAGAAAAATTGTGTACGTAGCAAAACCCACGGCCATCGTCAACTTAAACTGAGTGAGAACAATGTCGCTCGCAATACGGGCGATGTTAAAAGACATTCAGTAGATGCTACTGACGTTCCAAAAAAAGCCGAAAGCGGTCGTAAATTACAGCGAAGCTCAACTACTTTGCACAGTAGAGTCGAGCGTACTATGCGTGTTTTAAATGCCGATCTAATGGCTAAAGAAGACCGCCCCAATCGGTTCATACCCCTGCCAGGAAATAGTACAAGTGCAAGTAAAAGTAACGCATCTTTGGGTACAGTGAATGTGCGCAGCACTAAGTCTGAAGTTATGGCTGCAAAAAATGATATCGAACATGCTAAGCAGCAAGAACGTATTTGTTATGAAAGACGTTTAAAGAAACTGGAAGAGGAGATTGAACGTTACAAAAAAGAAGTTAAATCGTTTTGCCGTGATAGCTTTAACCATTCAAATCGTAAAAGCCATCACCGCAAAACGTCACAAGAATTCCTGCTTAAGCAACCGCTTATTTTTGAAAAGTCTGTCGCCCGAGCTACTCCGAAAAATTCTTCCGGAACGACAAATTTACCCATAAAAACTACTTACTTTCAATTGCTTACTAAGGGGAATCGTAATGACGATAATAAATCCGACTTTGATTTCTCAGCTAATAGTGGTACTGGCAGCAGCAACGATCATTTTGGACGTTCTCAGAAGGCGCGCTGTTGTTCAGGACGAGAGAAACAATTTCTAAGCCAAAGTCAGCAACTACCACCACATCAGCATCGTTCAAAGCCCCTCTCAAAATTTATTTAACATCGTAAACCTAATCTTTAATTCCAGAGTAACTCATCTAAAAAATTATAAATTTTACTTTCAATTTTTCTGTACGCGTGCGTACGCGTTGCATTCTTGGATACTAGATCCCTTTGTACACTGCCTAATAATCTTCTTTTTCCATATTCATTTTTTTTATACAATCGTCATATATATATACGTGTTGCGTGTAGATAAATATAATATATATACACCTATATTTTTTGTGCCTCTATTTTGTATAAAAAAAATTACACTTTTATTTCGTTTGTATGATAGTTAGGAGGAAAATGCGATTTCCTCATTTTTATTTTTATTGCGATATATAACTGTAAACTGTAACACATTTACTTATATAGTTATTACATATTAAGGACATTCATTCACAACGTTGTATGGATAACGAAAAATTGCCTCAAGTGACAACATCTGTTATTGTGTCCAGTTGTTGATTATAAATAAATTTGCATTCCTGTGATTCGGAGTAGCCTTAGTGGAGATTTTGCAAATTGAGAGAATAGATAGCGGACGAAAGGAATCGGGATTTTAATTGTCTTTGGAATTAAATAATAAAAAAAAATTATCATCCACTAAATTAACACGAAGATAAAAAGTTGTCACGACAACATATCACAGTTTCTAACGAAGATCGAACTATGGCGATATAGTCATGTGCAGTTTTATAACTAAAATACTTTTATGATGTACTATAAATAATTTTGAATTGCTTATGAATGTAATTAATTATCGTTTTGCATGTTATGGGAATCAACATTTTTAATTAAGCCAGTTTGTAGCTCAAGGATATGATCGACAGGTTGCAGTTTACCGTCGTCTCCTATATTGCAAGGTTTTATAAGCCCGCCGCGATGTAATTTATCGATAACGTTAACTAGTTGCATCGCGTGATATTCCTTTTCTTCCTCCGACATATTCTGCATTGGATTGGCCTGAGGCGTGATAAAGGAGCCAGTAACAGGATTAATAGCGTGTTGATTTTTCTTGTATTCCTCGGTGTCACTGTCGTCACTGTCTGTTGAGAAGTCCGTTTCCACACGACGACAATCCAGCATACCTTTTTTGCAAAACAATCCGGCCATATTCCCATAGCCGAAATGTTTGACCATTCGTCTTGGATTTTTTTTGCAGCACAAGAAAAGCAATTCGTACGTCAAGTCGCGTACCACATTGTCTGCGTTGCCTTGTAGGCGACATAGGTAATTTCTTAATTCAGTGCCCACTTCTGGTAATTGCGAGACATCTTTTAGAGGTGGCAAAACTACACTACGTACATAATGTCTCATAATACGATTGCTAGCCACGCATTTTACAAGCACTGTCAGAACCGGTGAAATGACGTCAGTATGCGCTACACCATTTTCTAGTTCCTCTACCACGAGGTGGAAAAAATTTAGGAGTACATCTAAAGCGTAAATATTATGCTTATCGAAAATGGTAACTCTAATCGTTCCAATCTCTGAATCCCATTTTACCATAAGCTCGCTGAGGCAACTACTAGACACATAGACCAACAAATTTATGCAATTAGAGACTATTGCTCTCTCGCGTTCACCCCTCATGGCACCGAAGCGAAATAAAAGCTCGCGTACCACTCCCGTCAAATGAAGATTTTGGATTTCATTCTCGCTTGGACTTTTTTCAGTATAAGAGATAACGTTATACATCGCTTTGAGTAACTCAACCATCACATCCAATTCCTCCTCATTGAACTCTTTGCTATGTAATTTTTCGTTTAAATTTTCCGTCATATAGGTCAGACCGTTTAATTCAATCATTACACGGCTGCGCACTGAAGATTCCAAAGCTGTAATAAGGAATAACAATTTCGTGTCAAATAACTCCAAGGCACATGGAATGTGTACAGTTGAAGACATGCGTCGTATTATATGATCCGCCACATTTTGACGTACACAGCGACGTCTGCAATCGGCAGATTGAAAAACCAAATTGCACAAGCATTTTAAGGCCTCGACAATTCGATGTGTCTCCATTTCATCGGACGATTCGGGCCTAGTGGCTGCCGCCACATCGGTAGAATTCTTGTCCACGCAATTTGTTTCCGGTATTAGAGAAGTGCTGGAAGTTAATCGAGCTAATTTAAGTAAACAATGTACATCGCTGTCAATATTGTGGCGTTGCAAACTAAGTCTATCCCGCGAAAGTATTCGTATCGTATTCAAGCTCAGTACATGTAACTTTTCTAGCGGTTCAGTATTTAATATTTTAAATATTGCTTGCCATAAGTTTAGCCATAAATTATCCAGATGGAATTTCTCGAAATCGAATAGATTCGCATTCTTATAATACAAAAACGAGAGATAAACAAAATCATTTTTTACACAAACACGTAAATAGATTCAAACTGATAGTCAACTTACTTTCTTATTAAATCTTTCCAATATCTCACAAATTTTTTGTGGATCCTTACTTCGCAAATGTTCTAATTGATCTCTATCCATTTTCACTTCCCTAAATAAATATGTTGCTTAATTCAATTAATACACAAAACTAAATTGTAAAAATTCTAATCAATATGTATGTTGTTGTTTTATGATAGGGTTGTCAACATCACACAGAAACTTAATATTATATTTTAGTAGTGGTGTGGTAGTAAATTATAGTAAAATTCTATTCTAATAATTGCTGCTCAAGTCAAATATTACTTTGTCATATGTAATTGGCGTTAATCGGTGAACGTAATTGCCATCTGCGGCTGTCCAATGTTTGTAAAACTTAATGCAAATGATGGCAATGTTTCTTTTGTAGTTTAAGTGTTATCAGCATAGGAAAATTTATCCTGTGTATTTGTCATTCGCAAAATTTATGTTACTTTAAATGAAGAAGAAGGCTATGGAAAGGAAAATAAGTTCGCTTACTTTTCAATTCTTTTATTCAGTTTTTTTTTTTATAGTGGTAGTGTGTTTGAAATGATCTATATAAATTACGCCAGGCAAATGCAATCTCGTTTAGTATTACTTCAATTCTGTGGAACTGCGTAAGTAGTGCCAAGTTTTTGCTTTAATAAATTTTATTTATTTTATTAAAATTTATTTTACTTAATTATTTAAGTATTCATCAATGTCTTTTTTTTTTTTTTTAGTTTAAGAATTTATTTCATTAGTCTAAAATTATAATAATAATAATAATAATAATAATAATAAAAATAATAATAATAATAATAATAATCTTATTTTTATTCTTTATCTATTTCTAAATTAGTCTTTTACACAGACTTACGTAGTTCAAATTTATTGCAATTATTTTCAATGTTAATTAAGTCTTATGGACCACATTCGTCACAAAATATTGTATCTATCAAAACTCAAATCTCTTTGCCATGTAAAGACTAACTTTTGATGAGTTTTCAAAATCGTTCAAGCGAAACTATGCAGTGTTAATATTTCGGCATATAAAATTGATGCGCAGAATTTATGTCGCATTCGCTAACTTTTTGAATCCTCTCCCATGTATTTTGTATGGACCAAATGTTTACTTTGTAATATCTTACGATAATATTAAAAGCATTATACTAATCTGATATACAAAAAAACTGCAGCAAATTTGAACAACATAGGCATAATTATTCTTATTATATTATATTATATTATTTTATATTATGTACTCAGAAGAAAGTTTTTGGAGATCCCGCAAAGTATATATATTCTTGATCAGCATGAAATTCTGAATCGATTTAGGCATCTGTTGCGAATATTTTCTTGGTCGCAAAAATGAAGTTGCTGCCAACAAGATTTGCAAACGAATTTGAATATGGCTCAAACCTGTCAAAGGATACGCCTACAATGCCGACACGTCTATGTAGCAAAAACTGTAAACACTTTGGTTTTTCGTGTTTTTTTCTTGCAACACATACATCACATAAGTTTCTACTTTTATTCTCAAAATAGAAAAAATCAGCCGCGTCCAGCCAATGTAATAGAGTACGAAGATCCTTTCCCTTTATATGGTCTTTTTTAATATAACAAAATTAGGTCACGACCGAATAAAAGTTTCTTACTTGCATATAATCGAACGGTATAATAAAAGATAGGGCTACCTGAAGTCTTTCTGGATGTTACGCACCTACAAACAAACTTAAGAAATTACCCTACAGTAAAAGTGATGTGGCATATAAAAATTGTATAGTTCTCGTTCTCTCTAGGGTAAACTTCAGTGAGTGAATTGTGATCATGTTTTATATTCATATGACGATGGTACGAAAAGTAGTTATGTTCTTAATAGTGTTAATTAATTCCATTCTTAATAAATGCAACGCGAACGTCATTTAAATCCAGCCATTATTTTTTAAATTATTGTGAATTATTAAAATTTGGTATTAATGCTATTAATTATGCCAAATTTTTTTCCTCCGCTTCTCTGTCTCGTTTTGATGTTGATTATTTTGATGCTTTGGCGATTTGCTCAACTACTGCTCGAAAATAATGAATAGTTTTACGTTCATTGAAACTATAGGCGTTGAATTTAATAAGGACCATCGTAGCTTGGGAGTTTAAGAATAACCTGATAAATTTAATGTGTCCTTCACACCTTCATGTAAGGCATTTAATGAATTGATTATATCTTACACTAATTGTGATAGAAGGTATATTAAGTTTGTGCAAACGTATGTAAAATTCAGAGGGCCTAGAGAGAGATTCACCTTTCATTATATCGATCGAATCGAAAAAATGTCCTGGATCGATTTAAGCCGGTTTGTCCGTCCGTCCATCCGTTTGTCCGAGTCTGCATTTTTGTGTTCAGCATACAGGTGCACTTTCAAATTGTTCAAAATTTCTCCCCAAAACTTGTTGAGTATTTGGATATTCTACATTTGATTCAGGAGTGGCAATTTTTTGAACTCGCTCTCAAATCACTGTTCCTACGAAAACTGAATCTTTATAGAATAGAAAGGTATAATTTTTAATATTTTATGATGAAAATTGGTTCATACTAGCAATTTAGCAAAAAAAAAACAAAATGAGCGGTAAGGAATTTTGAATCAGAAATATCTATTTTTTCGTCTCCAACATATAAAGAGGTTATCATGAAAAGCAAGTTCAAGTATATGGCAAGGAAGTACAACATCAAGTTTTTTATTAAGAAAACTGACTTTGGATCAGGTCATGTCGTGTTTTAAGCATCTTCCAACATGCAGACTCTTATGAAAATTATTCCTTTGGATCAAAATAATGTGTAATTTTTAATGTATTATTATTATTAAAATGAAAGAAAAATTATTATCAATAAAGTAGGTGAAATAGTGTAGGATATCTAATGCTCTGCCTTACCTTACCTTACCTTAATGTTCTTGCTTGTTTTATTTGATGTGATTTGAATAATTTTACTGCTTAGGTAGGTAGGGAGTAATTGAAATTTACTATTTAAATGTTCTGGCTTAGTTTTAATTCTTAAAATTTATTATTTCATTTGCACTGCAACTGCATGAGCGCATCTTCTTTTACAAATGAAAATTGAGAAAATCTTTATAGAGTTGATTAAGTTTTTGCGAAGTAAGAAAATGCATAAATCCCCGAATGACAAGTCGGTGATTAAAATTTGTTATCATAAAACATTATCTCGGCTCCGAGACAGAAAGCAGCAGGCCGTCTACTTTGCGCAAAGCATTTGTGTGATGCTGTTTCAGTAGAGACGCAAATACTAACACACATCACCTAATGGCTTGCAATTTCCTTTTCCGCCCTTTTGTTGCGGTAATCAAATTATGAAAACTAAGATTGAAGTAAAAGAAAAAAAGAAATATTACACAAAGTTGAGTTGAGTCGAATCTCTTAATGACTACCTCATCACCTATAGAACGTGTAGATAATAATAATAATAATAATAATAATAATAATACAGCAAGAAGTGTTATGATGTGATTTACAAATTGCCTATGATTTATGGCATCCTATATGGTATGGTATGAGATGATAAAACGTCACTGCATGCACCAAAACTTAAATCACGCAAAGGAGTAATAAAAAATGTAAAATTCAACTTCACCATGAGAAAATTGAACAACAAAAGTCACTTTTAAATTTATCCTCAAGTCAGTATATTTTTTGTATGCGGTGTTGTTGGGCAATTCTTAAACGAAATCTTAACATCGACATTAAGGAAGAACACGAAGAGAATTAATTTCTCGGTTACCTTGAATTTAGTTAAATATGATTTTCGCTTGCCAGTATATGTGTTATTTTGTTTTGTCGGTTAATTTTTGCTTTTGGTTTGCTTATCTGTAAAGCAAAACTTTCACTTAATGAAATCATGGAAAAGTGAAACTTATTCGATATGTTTGCAAAGCAAATTTGATTAATCTATTTATCCAAGTAGAATGATTTTGTCATTCACAGGCGGAAGCCTTAACGGTTCTCTTCTTTCCAGAAGTTACATATACTATTCCGCTTTAGCCGAGAAAATTATGACCATTCGTTATAAGTCCATCTGGAACTTTCATCACTGTTTGAACATGCGTAAACACTACAACTGCTTTCCTCCCTCTCTCTCTCTGTCTTTGATCTTTCCTAATTACCACTGTCTTCCCATATGTACGAAGTCTCTGGTGAAATTTGAAGAAGAAAAGAGAAGAAAAAGACTTGCAATGATTTCGGCTGCATGGAAAAATTCGTTTTCAAACATACACCCAAATCTCTTTTTATACGGTAGATGCATTCCTCAGGCAATCTTGCAAACAAATCGCGTAAAAAATATATATGAGATACATAATAAATTTGGAGACATGCTCTACAATATTAAGAAATCATGTAAGTTGAAGGCACTCTAAATATCTTCCTAAAAAATCGTGCAAAAAAAGTAATAATGAAATCTATCTTATATATTTACACAAACTAAAGAATTCATTTTTATTATAGGAAAATGTGAAACCAGTGTAGAGTGAAAATTCAGTTCATTCATATAAAAATTAAATTTGAAATTGGGAATAAGAGCTGATTTCGCTGGGCACTCTCTGGGATTTGTGCTAGTACACAATATTCGTGTAAAAAAGTGCATGTGCTCTCATTGGTGTATCGTGTTATTTCAAAATCGGGCGAAAACAACGTGTAAAAAAGGAGTTGGGTGTAGATGAGAAGGTTTAGCTTTTATATGAATTCTTGTGAACTCAGAAATACGCTACGATACAGACGATGTTGTTCTACGATCGGCTGAAAATCTCCATTTGTATCTGGATAAAGTAAAGTAAATAAATACTAATAAAATTCTAATTTTGTCGTTCCGTGAATTGGCACACAAATCCCCTAAATTTGTTTATTCGTCTTTGCTTTCTTGTCCGCCCGTTTCTGAAATTTTGAAAGTTGGAAAAAAATGTGTCCAAAGTTAGCCTGTGTTTATATGCATGAAAACCAAATCATTGCATCTCCTTTTTGCAAAGAGATCTTGTATAATAGCTTCTCTAAGTACTTGCGCATCATAGCTGCGGTGTGTGGTGTTGCGTTGCTAAGCATGAACACTACGTGCTCTTCCAGCATTTTTTTGATGTAGCGCCGGCAGTCAATTGGGTG